TTAAGCTAGTGCACAAATAAGTAAACAAGTCAAAGTCGTGTTCGCTACAACACCATTAAAGCTAGAGTGGAAAAATAATGAATGTTTGCCAAAAAGACAAAATTAGCAGGGAGAGCTTTTAAGACGGTATACAAACAATAGAGTGTGGAAAATCAATTAACACTGAATGTGTTATTTTTATATTTGAAGCAAAGAATGTAAACAGGTAAATAATGAATAAGCAATCTGAAGAGAACATTAGAGCGACAATAACATAAGCATACATTTATAAAGCATCTAAAACCCTGTAGTGATTGGCTGTGTTCCGCAGATGAAATTAAAAAGGGAAAATACACAGAACCAACCACCAAAGGGGTGAGTATAAAATATCAGTCAGCAGGCTAAATGCCAGGAAATTCCAACCTCCAAAGTTAATGAAGACTTGAACAAAAAGATGAACCTTAGACTGCTCTGTAAAACAAGGTGGCTTAGGGTTATTAAAATGTAATTTTTAGATAAATGAATTTAAGAAAGGAAGATTCCTTATGGGAGTGTGCTGGACTACCATAGAAAACCTATTCTGGCCAGTTGTGCTATAAAACATTTCACAACTTTTTTATTACATTTCACCACCTTACAGATTTCTGGCCAAAGATCATTATTAATATAAACAGTTTCTATACAGGTGTGTTTGCAATAGTAGTTAATCCTGAGGTTGTAATGCAGGCAGAGAAGGCAACGGAAGTAGAACCTGCTCAACTGAATGAGAAATTATGTCCTGAGATTTCTTATTCAACCTATTGAGATACCTATGGGTATCATCTCTTTTGAACCCATTAAGCAGTCACGCTTGTACCAGAACAACTTTTTAAAAAAGTAACATATAATTAAATCCTCAATCTGACATTTCTTCTAGGACCAGGCATATTTTTTACTATGTCATTAATTACTGCTTTGCAACTTCTTTTCTTTTCTTTTTATTTTTAGCAGCTAAAAACAACTTCATAGCTAAAGAGGAACAAATCAGTTTCAAAGACTGTGCTGAAGCATTTAAATCTGGCCTAACAACAAGTGGAATCTACAGCTTAACCATCCCTAACATCGCAGAGGAAAAGAAGGTAGGATGCCTATAAAATGCTATCTGTGTATTTAAGTTAAAAATTATTTAGTAAATATGCTATTTTAAAGCCTTGTTAAGAGTGAACTTTTATCCAATATTTTCTTACCATGGTTTTATGGGTAGTTCTTCACTTACAGATCTGAATCTCCACAGGGAGAAAAAGAAGTCAGATGAAATCCGGGCCAAGCATTTCATTGCTCAGTTCAGCATACCAGAATTTCAGTCTTTATTTCCATATAATCAACATGCAGTTAAAGGAACATATTACTTTTACCTCTTTATCAAATCTCAAACTCCAGTACAGTCACCGTACATGATCCGAGGCCCAGGTCACAATAACTACCCAAAATGCACGACAGCTCTCGAGTGTAGGAGGCCCTTTCTCTGACACACTAATGTACACAAACCTAGAAGGTATGTTGACAGCTAGTTTATCATTGCTTTTTTTAAAAATACGCAGTTTTCCTTTAGATATCAAATTGAATCCACTTCCGTGGAGTCCAGCAAAGACTGAGCTAGCGTTTCAGGTACTCCAAGTGCCAGGAATCTCTTGTTTTCTCAGAGTTCTTAGTGCCTTCAAAAGCTCAAGATCCTCTGGGTGGAAAAAGATGGTTTAAAACAAAACAAAACGGACTTTCTTCATGAAAGAGGGCATGCAAGAATACTGGTGAATTCATGTGAGCCATCTACTAGTGCTGGACCCTGTGCGAGTTCCAATTTGTTATGTTTTGCAGAGCTTTTAGGGCGTTTGCATAAGTGATTAGCAATTAGATTAGTGCGACTGATACGGGAACATAGAGAGAGATGCTCCTCCTACAAAATATTGCTTGGATTTACATCAAAGGTGAGACTTTGTTGTGGTTTCACTGAATCAGTTTAAATGAATGCTTATTTTTTCCACATGTTTAACAGACATGATCTTCAGAGGCAATTTAAATTAAATCAATATAATATTTCCTTGCAGAAGAGACTTGAGCTATAAAGGGCACTCACTCGGTAAAAAACAGTGAATGCCCCATAAAGACACTCCACCCACTACAGCAGAAAGAATGATAAAGCTTCTGTGATTCAGATAATATAATTTAAGAAAAACAAAACTGAAAGGCAGAAAAAGTCGAGCACCAAAAACTGCAAGAAAAATTCTGAAAAGCAGGGCTCGAAAAAAAATTTGTTTCCAACTTTTCAGATACAGCAGGCTGAGCAGGGTCAAGGGACACTTGAATATATGCAAAAAATGCTTAGCATTTGTCTAAGAAATATAGTAGGGGATGATTTTGTACTTTTTTATTTTAGGATTTAATACTGTAGATATGTCCTTACTAAATAAAGTATTTATTGAATTCCTAAGACTCTGTTTTATTATACATGAAATACAAACAAGCTAAAAAAAAAAACCACAGAAAATGGACGAAAATAAAGAAAAGTGAGAGCACATTTGGAAAAGCAATTGGTAAAGCTTTGATAGAGAAAGCATTTTTTTCCATGTTTTCATAAGAAAGATTTAGAAATTAAGTAAATGAAGTAAACTGCTTAAAGACTTCCATGTAGTTCAGGCCTCACTTTGATATTTATCCTGAAAAAGATCCCAACCAAAGGAAATAAGCAATTTTAGGAAAGTCTAGAAAATATAATAGATTAAAATTGCAGGTTTTGTAGATAATATCTAGAGAAGTTAAGGATATCTGCAGTCTGCTTCTCTTGAAAAAGAAAAAGGCTTTTCTCTGAAGCAATATAGTCTGTTGCAGAGCAGAATTAGTTACAAGAAAGATGCATTTGGGACGTGTTGCACAGCGCATACAGTGTAAGGCATAAGCATTTTCTAAAAGCAGACTCAAGTGCATGCTGTATTACAACATGGAAATTTCTGACCATCAAGTTTTAACTGTGCATTTTCAAAACCATAGCGTTTAAGACAATTTGTAGTTTTTGTTTCAACTGCCCAGAACCTACAGCAATTTACATTTCTGCAGAAATTTCAGTAATCTGCCACACTACTGAACTCACTTTTTAAATTATTTACCAAAATAATCTATCCCTAAGACAAAGGTACAACTGCCAATTCTTTACACTGTAAAACATAAAGTGCTTTACACTTGAACACAGAGGCCTAAAACACGTAGCATAAAAAAAGAACGTTTTGACAGCAATTTGCTGTGTTAAAACAACAGTAGTTTTATTCTGTTTAACAATATTAATTATATTGTGCTCACTGCAGAGCGAATGGAAACAAAAGAATGAGAAGAGCTAGTGAAAGTTTTAAATACTCTATGAAGTAGAAAAAAAAAGACTGAAAATTTTTAATCTGATGCAAATTTTTTATACAAACATAAATGCCCGAGAGGAGTTGTCAAGGGCAGCGAGGGTTTAGGGATAATCAACACATTGCAGCATTACCAACTGTTTATGATGTGCATGGCTACACGGACCAGGAAACAGAATGACCTTTTTTATTTGCCAAAAGTGCTGCACTGCTGTTTATGTTTTCATCTTTTCCTCTTGTAACACCTTCTGACCTCCCAACAGGCTGATAAACAACTTCTGTGCAATCTGTGTAACTGATCTGACTTCACTAATTTGTCTTCCATCATAAGGCACAACTAGAGCAGCGCATGCTGGAGGAAAACAATTATTTCATTCCATTAATATTTTCAAGCTTTCCTGTTCTGCACCAGGACAAAAGCTAAGACCTTTTAAAAACACTGAGGAAAAACAGCAAGACTGCTGACACAAGAAAAAACAGCAAAAGCCATGAAAAGTCTGTAACTTCATGTTTACAGCAGCTACATGAACCAACTCGCCTCTTGGTTTTAGTCAGGCAAAACAGGATTTCATGGATGATCCCGAATGCCACATTGTGGCAATCTATCAGCTCAACCATTACCCACAACTCTTACCAATGTATTATCCCAAATCTTAAACTACTGGCTGAGCATTTCCTTACCTCCCTCCCCGATCTGAGTAGAAATGTTCCAGGCAAAGCTCTCTTTATTATTTTTGTTTTTTTCCATGTAGAAACTTTGGGAAAGTTTGAATTTAGTAACAAGAAGAGTTTTGTAAAACTTTTCTGAAAAGTGACCAAGCAGAGAATTAGCTAGTTGTTTCAGAAGAAGTCCATGCCACAGAGGTTAGATAAAGTGTTACCAACCCCAAGTTTAAAAAATAGACATTTGCATTGCTTCTGCTATGCAAGGAGATGAAGGGGCTTTTTGTGTACTTTTAATAGTCTCCTCATTTGGCCTTTTAAGGGATAATTGGTCTTAAGTTAATTACTTTGTAAACACATCTTTCCAGAACAAGGAAACTATGGCTGAGATTCTCACCAGTCAAATCTCTGGTAGCCAGAGAAAGAAATATATAAAATCTCTGAGCATCAGGACTGAAAATTTAGCTCTGAGGAGGCCTAAAACACGTAGCATAAGACCATAGCCAAAAGTGATGTAAATAGAGACAAGCTAATGTGGCAACACTACTCTTTTAGTATAAGAAAAGTGGTGGATTTACATCCCAAGAGCTGCATTTTCACAATGCAGCATTGATCCTTAGCTGAAGGTGAAAAACATAAACAACTGACCTTAGCTTCCCTAGCACCACAGCAGCTCCATCTGCAAGCAGTGGAGGAGTTCACGAGATAAATCAAATACAACCCCTGCCAATTTGCTGTCATTTGAGAAGCTAATCTCTTTATTCCTTTTGGCATCTGTTTGACGACTCCTGCTGCCTATCTAATCTTGGTATCTGCCCTTACTACTTCTATGAAATGTTACATTTCTTCCTTTTGAATACAAAACCTAGGCTGTGCTCAAAGATCAGAAGAGTTCTGTTCCAGGAATGTGTTAGAGAAAACCTCATACGCCTATCACTTTACTGAAGATTATTTTTTTTAAAGAAGTTACAGACTAAGTAAATACTTCCCCCTCCCTCAGCTATCGCCTACTTCATTAAGAAATGTTTCCCTCGGCTAATTGACACAGCAAGTTTACTGTGATTATTTTAAACTAAGCAAATTTTTCCCTGATCTTCATTTCACTCAGCAGCCTATCTTCAAACTTAGAAACACTTATGAATATGCAACATTCACTTTAGTAATTTTAGGAAAAAGTAATAACAGCTAACCAACTTATTTTACTGAATTTATTTCACTATTCACTATTCACTATTGAATGTCACTATTCAATTTTACTGTTTCCCAAATTAAACAAAAAGCATATATACAAATTTGAAATTCCCAGTTCTATAATAAATATGACCTCTAACTCTAACACAGTTTAATCTTGATTGTCCAGAGAACTGATGATTTTTAGAGAAATTATCTGGAAAACGAAGGAATGACTTCATGAGCAAAGCTGAATATGAGGCCTGGCAAGGCACGGTTCTGGTCAGCCTGAAAGCAAAACATTTCACTGTAAGAGGGTTACCTGAAGCTAGTAAAAAGATTTTTTCCTTTTTATCTAGTTCAAGGGGGCTATCGTGCAACTGTGAAGTATGGCAGTTAGAAACCACACACTGAAATCTTAAACAACTATCTTGTCATGCTTTAAAACAGATGTTATGACAGTAGAAGAGAGGTGATGTAAACCAGCACGTTCCCATTGCCTGGGCCCCACCTTCTGCCCAATATAGAAAAGCGTTTCCATTTCCAAGGTCTTAAAATAATGGCATGTATAAGAAGGACTTACAGATAACTGATTGTTTTTTAGCATGGAAAAAAATTACACTCTCAAATTTGCATAAGCTTTATCAAATCATTATCGGAAGGAAAAATGTACATAAGATTTTTTCTGGTCTTTTCTTTTAACATGTCTTGTTATGGATTTCAGTTGCTAGTAAATTGCTTTTCCATTTGGGAAGATATTTCCAACACCAAAACACTTCTTCTGAAGGATCTATACTATCTATAAAAGCAAGCAATCTTACTAGTCACATGCCAAAAAAGGAATATTTTATATAAGACATTAACAGAAGTTCGGGAAAGTTTTTTTATGTTGTTTTTTTTGTAATGGAAGATTACGATGTTTGAGAATATTTTAATCTCATTAGAATTAAGTACAGTGCTATTTCAAGGTATTTATAACTTCAAAGTAATAACTCCAGCTGAAATGAAATAGGAATAGGCTTCATGGAAATTGTGTCTAGCATTTAAAATGTCTATTAATGTTTGAAATAGCAACAACAGAGTGCAGGAGTGGTCCGTCTAAATTAATATCCCACCTCTAAGTAACTAAAACATGTTTCAGAGAAAGGCAAAAACATTATATTCTGCATTTGGCTTATTGTAAATAAAAAACCTGTAGAGAAGATTCTGGGTGGAAACAGCTTACACTATAACCAATGTTATTTGTTAACTGTTATGCGTTTTAAACTGCAGAGATGCTTAATAAAATTATCAGCATATGCTTTAATCCATCCCTTCTGTCCCTCTTCATAGCCTCTTGTGGCAATTACATTTTACATTAGCATTACACATTGCATGGCCTAACTTTTTAAATCAGACTGATGGTCCTTTACAGTACCTTGTATTTAGAATGCTCATCTTTCTTTTTCAAGGCAGGCTTGTTTTTGGCTTTTTGCATACGTACATATATGCATAAACAAACACACACAAACTATTGCCAAATCATCACCAGTCATATTAAGTAGAGAGGTTAACAGAACCTCCCCAAAATAGGTTTTGAGGTGGAAAAACTGCATGCAGCAGTAAAAACTAAAGCTGCTGCTTTCTATTAAATTCATTTACATGGTATACTTTACTCAGTAAACCAGCTTTTTTTCTTCTTTTATCTTGCCAAAAAATCTCCATCTAGACATGTTTAATGATTTTCTGATGCCAAGTACACAGGCTAGACACAACACAACATGTGCTTTGCATTTCCAATGTATTACAGCCTATTGATACACTATCTAGTATGTTTCATTTTAAGCAGCTCTAAGGGCTTTGGTTCCCTTTAAAAGTCTGATGCTTTTGAAGAGTGCGTGTGCCACAGCTCACATGATAAGAGTAGTAACCTGTAAGGAAAACACTTCCCTTCCTGTGGTGGTGCTCCCAGCACAGGAATCAACTGCGGCCTAGCAGGAGTCGCTGCGTTTCCAGCACGGTCAGCGTGGCGCGGTTCAGAGAACCCCAAGAACCTGCTAGGCCTCAGCAGGCCCCATCCCATGGAGAAGCATGAAGATACACAACTTCACTGTGATTCAAACAGGATTTGGGGTATTTACCGTGACACATTCTGACAGACAGCAGAATGAGTTAGGTAAAAAGAAAGATAACCCAAGAGGTGGCTTTTTTGTGTGTGTGTGTTTTTAAATAAAGGGAATTCTAGGAGTTGGCTGCAGGTTTCTGTGGGATGGTGGGGACTCCAAGTAAACATTTACACATTATTTTCATTCAAAAACACTTAAATTTTAAGTTGACGTCCCTTGAACACTAGCTATAAGCTATTTTTAAGATACTGTTGAGTGCGATGAACACTGAGGAATCACATCATTTGTGGACACTGAAGACACACTTGCATGAAAGCTAGGAAGAACAGCATTTTTTCAGTTAATCCACATATCCTTCTCTTGCCCAGGTTAATACTTGCCACTGCACAGAACTGTGCAAAGTACATGCCCAGTGTTTGTGTTTGTAAACGACAGCACGCGCTGACACTGTTGCCGTTTGTTCTGGCAGGCCTACTGCGACATGGAGACCGGTGGGGGAGGCTGGACCGTTCTCCAGAAACGCGAGGATGGCAGCGTGGATTTCCACCGGACGTGGAAAGAGTACAAGATGGTAAGACCAACGTCCTCTGAGGCCTTAGTATTAATTATCTGCAATCTGATATAATGAAGTAATTTTAATAATGCCCTCGGACTGTAAGCAGGTTCCAAAAGGGGTCTTTTTTTCTTTCATACTCATTTAGAAACCTCAGGGTTTTCTTCTGCTTTTTAATCAACTATTGCATGATTCACAGTTCACAGTTACTTAACTGTGTCCACAGCTTTAAGTTACTTACATTTGTGTTTCTACTGGCCACTTGCTTCAGATCTACAAAGACTTGCGTTGATTCACTTTATTTCAGATTTCTGAATTTGTGTTTATTGAAATAAACTCTTTGAAACACTATAAATACAGTGTTTCACTATATCTATACAGTGAAGAAGTGACCTTCTCTTACACAGGAAAATTATTAGCTGACGGACTGAAAACTATGGTATTTAAAAAGTGATAAAGTGATCATTTCAAAGTCAAAGAAAAAACAAATGAAAGTTATTTAAATATACAACTTGAATTACAGGGATTTGGTGATCCTGCTGGCGAGTACTGGCTGGGAAATGAGTTTGTTTCTCAACTGACTAATCAGAAACGCTATGTTCTTAAAATACACCTGAAGGATTGGGAGGGCAATGAGGCTTATTCACTGTACGACCACTTCTATCTATCTGGTGAAGAACTAAAGTACAGGTAAGCAAAAAAACCTGATGTGAATGAAAACATATGTTGCTAATTAATTTAAACTGTTTAGTTGCATTACTTTATTTCATATCAATTACAATTTTTTAAAAATTCACTCAAGAAAAAAAATGCCTGCTCCAATTTTCACTTATTGTCTATCTAGTTTATATATATATATACATATATATGTTTTTAAAGATAGCATGTACATTTTACTAGTGCACACTGGGTGAATATTCTACACCAAATGCTCCAAAGACAAAGAGAAGATGCAGTACATGAGCTCATAGAGCAGCTGGCAGTACACAACTTTGAGGGCAAAAAAAACATGCCCAAGTTGCAGCACAAGGAAGTGAACAGAAAAGCCACCCATGTTCATGTTTTTCTCTGTGAGGTTGATCCACACAAGCATACATTTTACATAGAGGGTAATAACATCGATCATATGTAAAATGTTTACGCATGCAAATGGCTACCCTCAAAGTTCAATATCTGCACAGATCTTTCTTTACTGAGATCAAATTGTAACAACTCCTAACTTTAGCTAGTGCTAAGCCAATTTAACTTCGTAAAGTTAATTTCCACCATTGTTATTTGCGTTAAAAAAAATAAAAACAAGGATCAATTTGCTCGATTAAAATTGCAAATTGTTTTTTTAAAAAACAAAAGACTGTTAAATCATGATTCTGGGAAATAAGTACGTTCCTGGAAGGTGGATAACAAAGGCAGACAATCCTGCAAGAAGATTTTCACTTTACAGAAGCAGCACACTGAGTGCAGAGGAAATCCTTCCTTCTAAGTCCAATGGTCGAGTTCCCAAACTCTGGAAGAATAATGTCCCTATCTGTGAAAAAGCAGCTAAAAGCAAAATTCCAGTTTCACCCTTCTACAAACCTGTTATCTTTAACACTTGACTTTAATAGCCATATGACTTATGCTGTCATCATTTCTAGAAAACACGGGCACAGAACTTAATGTTTGGTTAAACGGAAATGGAAGTGCTTATCCATTTTATATAGCATCAGCCGCTGCTGAAATATATCGGCAGTTCATACTTCATTCTGTTACTCCAGACTCTCTGTAAATGCAGTAGATAACCAGTCATACACTATCTCAGAAACTAGAGAGATGGCTCCTTATTATGTGGTCTGGGAATATTTTGTTATGTGAATCATACAAATTCATGGAGCTTTGTCTGACTGGACAGAAAAGTTGGCTAAACTTCATTTCTCTGAGATAACTAACAACTATTCATTAGTAAGAAGGTCAAGAACTAAATTTTGTTAAAATATTAAAGTAAAACTTTAATGAAGCATAGATAACATTTTGTACTAGTCATGTACAAAACTAGTATATTCTTCTCCTTTTGAAAGATAATGAAATGTAAATGGAAGAAAATGCTGTTACTTCAACTCTAGCCTCATATGCAAAGCAATCCAAAACTATCAGTATCTTCCTTCCCCAAAATGCTAGATCGTAGTAGTATACAGTTGTCTCAACTCCAAAGACAATATTTTTTTCATCTGGAAACAGTTAGAATCTACAGCAGAGATTTTGAAAATAATGCATTAAAATACTTATAAAGGCAACCTTTGCAAGATGGGTCATTACCCTTGTCCATCTACATTATTAAAAAATAATTACTGGAAACTAAGATGGTTGTCTGTAAATAGACCCTTCCTTTCAAAATGCAACTAAATATTAAATGCCTCACTGAATGCAGTGCTGTAAGGAATATGTAAGTAACGTCATGAAAAACTCTTCACTGAAATATTCAATAAAGAGCAACTTTCATTACAATAAAAAACAAAAAACATTTCTGAATGCTGAAAAGAACATGAGTTGGGAATTTCATAGAATCATAGAGAAAAAAAAACACATTGGAATGGGTATCAGTTGAGTCCAACTTCCTGTGCAGAGCAGGGTCAGCTAAGAGATCAGACACGGTTGCTTAGGGAAAGTCAGGCCTTATGCAGCCTCCATCCTTGGAGGATATAATCTGTCTTCATGGTGAAAATGTTTTTTCTGATCTCCAGTCAGAAGGTCTTGTTTCAATTTACATCTATTGCCTCTCATCCTCCTGCTGTAAACCACCATAGATTTCATGCTAGTTCAAGTTAGTACACAGTGAAAATCATCTGAATGTCATAAAATAACTTTGATTCTGCTTCTCAGACATTCAGATTTAGTGTTAATCGTGACATGGTTGTACCTGAATAAGGGGACACCATTCTAATTCTCACCTTTTTAGGGCTTCTAAGTATCTTTAATTTCTGCATACCTGTGTTACCTACTTTCTATCAAAATTTTTCCCTTGTTAACTCTTTTAAATAAGGCTGTATACGTAGGAAAGCTTTGTACAAGTTTCACAGGGCCTAGACCTAGCTAATTAAAAATAAAAAGTTTCAAATAGAGGTAAAGAATGATTTCAGGATGACAGGAGATTTGATAGGACCACTTTCAAAGTTTTTCTGTTATACTCTGGAATAGTGTGTGTCATCCTGTTCATTCCTGTTTAATATTTTCGTGTTCAAATATTAAGAGTCTTTCTGGAAGGAGATCCCCTCCTTACCTTTATAGCAAGCAGAGAATTACATGCAAGATCAAGATAGATTCGGGGACAAGTTACTTCTCAAAAAGTCCTTAAATAAACAGCTCCGAGGCAGATAAACTACTTGACATGGAAAAGCAACTGGCGAAGAGTTACTGTGGGCCCAGAGGGTTCAGGCCCTCCCAAATGGACACAGTCTCTAGGCCTCATCCCATAGCAGCAGCTCTGTTACCACCGCCCGCCCATGGCCCCAGATCTCTCCCCACAGAGACTGCGGCTGCACCTGGATGAGCAGCTCCAAACTGCAGCAGCCTCACAGAAAGGGAACTTCCCAGGGGCAGCGAGATACACTGAGAAGTACCTGAGATGATCTAACATTTTAGATAATTTGGGAGAAAAACCTAAAATACTAATTACAATCCTCTTATCCATAAGTTATAATGATAGATTGTCACATTGAGCTAATAGCAAAATAGAAACTGAAAAGAAGGAAAAACTCAATTAAGGAATATCTCTGCACACCATGTATTTTCAGTATTAAGAAATTCCTGGTGTACATGAAAAATTATGAATTATCTACCTGCTCTCAAGTTTGTTCCAATAGAACTGGGTGAAGGAAAAAAACAAAAACAAAACCAATCATCTCTATTTAATTAAATGTTAAATTCTCTGTTCATTATAATAATGCAGTGAGTATTCCTGCTCATGTCAAAACATTAACCTCCAAAACAGTTTACAACAGTACATTGACCAGAAGAGAACTCAATTATTTGAACAGGATATTTATGGCAAAAAAAAAAAAAAATCATCATTATTTTGTAGATCAACTGTCATTGACTTCAATCTAATACTTGTTTTTTCCATTCTACAGGATCCACCTTAAAGGACTTACTGGGACAGCAGGCAAAATCAGTAGTATAAGCCAACCAGGAAATGATTTTAGCACAAAGGATGCAGACAATGACAAATGTATTTGCAAATGTTCACAAATGCTAACAGGAGGTAGGAACGGTTTTTGGTTTTCTCAGTCTTCCTATTTTTACTGGCACTGAAATTGTCTGAGGGAAGTGGTGATTTTGACTTACTAAATTTTAGCTATTGAAGAAGTCCAAAACTCATAGATAGAAGGACTAGTGTGCTGACCTCAAATGCCATGTCCTACCATTTGACTAAGGTCAGCTAAAACAAGAGAAGTTAAAACTGAATGTGTGTGGGGAGAGGGGCAGGGAGGCGATGGAGTCTCTCAAGCTGTGGTACTAGGAAGTTTGTAATTGTGGAACTAGCACGAGTGACAGCAGGTTATTCCTCAAAGGAATGAGATAGGAGATCTCCTGAAAAGTCTGAGAATTGCCCTAGAAACTGAGCGGGTCAATGAAAAGATTCCTGATTCTTTAGGTGCAAAAACCTTCCCTATCTATCCAAAGGAAAGAAAGTTCATATTGGCTCTTGAAGAAAGCAAACAAACAAAAACACAAGAAGGCCTTGCCTGCCATACATGCTGCAAGTCACAGAAGGGTCTAAGTATTTAACTACATATTTCAATAAAAGTATTAAAGGGCAATGCATATATGTAAGATACACCATAATATATGAAGTATCAACATTTTTCTAAAGATGGTTCAGTTGTTACTGGAGTTTTTGGTGATTTTTTTCATAATTGTGGATCAGACAATGCTTTCTGTAATTCTAGAAATCTAGAATTCCATAATGTGACCTAATAAGCTTTGCTCCATAAATATGATTTCTCTTCCTAGTATTTTTTTTAAGCAATGATTAAGCAACGATCCCACTAGTTGCTAGAAAAAAGGCAGTTCCAATTTACCCAAGGATAATTGGATTACTGCCCTATAAAACAGAACACACATTATCACCATCAAAATAGAAATATAAAGATATTATCTTACTAATAAAAATAAATTTTCTTTATGACCCACTAACAGGTCAGCATCACAAAGATATAAGCGTGGCCTGCTTTTTTTCTCCTTTCACTTCCTTTGAATTGATCTGCATACAGAATAGAAACAGATAACTGAATTTTCTAAAAAAATGTTGAGTTTAAATGTGCGAAGAACAAGTTTACAAGCTTATCAAAAAGCTGATGACAGGTAAAGAAGATCCAGTATCGTTAAAGTTCAGGTTAAGATCTGACCTCAGGTTGTCAACATCAATCTTTGAGATTGATAATGAATTAACCTTCCTTAACAGCTTCCCTTTCAACTTTGAAGCCCTGTGGCTAACTTTGTATTACATAAGCTTCAAGAATATGCAGTTAATAAATAAATACAACTTCTTATGGAGCAACTATTTTATATTGACACTTCCAAATCGTATGTATTAGAAATAGTTTGTAGAATTCTTTCTAAAATTCCAATAATTCTTTCTTGGATAAAGTGTTAACAACTTCTCACAAATGTACATGTTTTATATATGTATGTGTGAACACATAGTTTTGAAAACTACCTATGCTGATATTTTCATCTGCTGATACATTGTTTTTTGATGTTGCAGGATGGTGGTTTGATGCATGCGGCCCCTCTAACCTCAATGGAATGTATTATCCGTTACGACAGAACAACAACAAGTTTAATGGTATCAAGTGGTACTACTGGAAAGGGTCAGGATACTCGCTCAAAGCCACAACTATGATGATTCGACCAGCAGATTTCTAAATGCTTTTGCATTCTTAACGTGAATTATGTATTGTATAGTCTTCAAGGACTTCATTTGCTGAGCACATATGCACCCATCTGCAACTCGTTTCATTTGCAAGCCCAGAAAACATGCACTAGTTCTGACGGGATCCGTCATTCCGCTTCGTGAACTGCAAAGCTCGTACTATTCACGTCTGAAGCATGAGCCTGCTAGAACGACGAGTTGGCCAAATGACCGAATAAAAAGAACATCAAAGAAACTGTCAGACAGCTTAAAGGACTGTTTTCTTGATCATTTATGTATGTGTTAGTAAATAACTGGAACTGTGAAAAAATATCTAAAATAGTTTTAGAAATATGCCCTTCGCTTCCTCACTGAACTTTAAACATTATTCTAATATAAAACACGTACTAGATCTAGATTTATTTATCTCTCCATTGTCAGGTTTGCTGTTTATGTACATAAAAAAATATACTGTGCTGTGATTAGAATGTATTCTTTATGATATAGATCTTTCTCCTGTAGTCCCCTAAACTTCTTACACTTATTCAGGGATTTTTTTTACAACAGTCTGTATTACTTAAGAAGGGAAAAATAGCATTTAAATATTTTGCATTCATTCCTGTGACATACTATGCAAAAAAAAGGAGAAAAAGAAAAAAACACCATTTATTTCAGTTTGAAAGTTTGAACTTTTTATAGTCACTGTCTTCAAACTATAAAAATCCCTGCAAATTATAGTATGTATTTCCTTATATTTTTATGAAGATTGCACTTTTATTTTCTTGTCATTTAGCTGCAAAATAATTGACAAGAATTCTATAAATTGAGACAGCGGCATTAACACCAGATGTCCAGTTGTCTATGACAATCAATTATCACCTGGTGCTGTAGTTGATTTATACCTTTTGTAGAAGTTATCTTAAAAAAAGCATGTTCTTCGATGCAATTGGATTTATGCTCATGAATTAAGACAAAAATTGCTACATGTGAAAAAGAAAAAAAAAATGAAAGTTACCTAAGCTCTTTTTTTGTTTTGTTTTAGTTTTTGTTTGTTTGTTTTTCTGGTGAGGTTTGCACTTCCTGAAATTCTCTATGAGGAAGGTAGGCCCTTAATGTATGATACAACATGAATAAATGATACCACCGGGTGATTTTTGCATTTTTTTATTGTATGTTTTAAAAATGCACATTGTACACAAGTACAAGATATCTGTACAAGTTCAGATATCGAAGATATTCTTTATAAACCACACAAAATAATTTTGTAGAAATTTCTCTCCAAATTAAATTCAGGGCTTAATTCTCATGCTTCATCTTAGTCTTGAAGTAATAAATTTAGAAATTCTATTTTCAACAGGTGACTGATTTAGTTGAAAAACAAGAAGGTATCTCATACCAAAGAACAAAACAAAATCCACATGGACACAAAGCTTCTGGTAGCTTACTTAGCAAAAAGTATTATATCTTAAAAGCATTACATTATTTTTAAAATGGTAGAAGAACACTCTTCATTTTGTACTGTCACTAGAGCTGCTGTCAATGAGTACCCTACCATTTGGAATAACATTATTTGTTGCTGCAGAAGAGTAGTATCAGCAAGATCAAAAGATAACAGAGAAAGAAGTACTTCTAACATTACTTCATGGTATGAGTTTAAATAAACCTAGTGAATGTAAATTAAGAGTCATCCTCTGAAGGATTGTATAAAATAATCTCAATATATTTTACTATTTAATAACATTGTCCCCAAATTTCTGAACAACTTGATTTAATTATACTTCCTCTGAGCAGGAGGTTGAACCTGCTGAGGTCCCTTCCCATCTAAATTATTCTGTATTAAATATCACAACATTTAATACATAAATCTTAGACTTGATCACTTATTTCCTGTTTTTTTTTTCCTGCATTTACTACAGCAAATACAACAAATATTTTACATCCATTCATCCCCAAATAATAACTTTTAAAATGAGATCTGTTACCGAGTAAGGAGATAGGAACTCAAGGAAGAAGGACTGGAGAGGGAATTATCCCCTTGGACACTGACATTGTCCCTCTGCACAAAAAGCACAATGCAAACAGAAGGGATGCAAGTTCTCAACACAACCAAAACCTTCCTCGATTTTATCTTCTCACCATCTCTCAAGGCCTTATCCCCCTTCTTCATCTGAGAGAATAAACACTGTAAACAGAATCTAAAAGAACACCAGCTTGACTCACTTCCAAAGAATGTCATGTAAAATGAAGGAGTCACTGATAACATTCTTTGTTATTGGACAAGGCAGTTTCAGAAGAAATAGAAAATTTTTTTTTGCTTTCTGATTCTTGTTGGAATCTGAAGTACTGTGTTTCCCCCCACACCTTTTTCTGCTACTTGTTTACTGTCCACATTAAGCTTTATCCTTCTTCAAGTATTTTTTAAAGTATTCCAAAAAAATCCACTTCCCTCCCTTTTAGAAAAAAATACATTATAGTAGATGCATTAATTTCTCTGAGCTCATTTGAGAATAACTGTTACATTTTCCCCGTGCTTACAGCTTATAATCAATGAATAAAGTCCTCACCCTGAACATGTAAAAATAACGAGTTCTTTTAAGTTAATAAAATTATAGTAAAAGAGAAGTTCAACCCCCCCCCCTTAACTGTTCTTTCTTAAAAGCATCTGAAACGTTGAGAAACAAAAAGCAGATAAAAAAAATTGTTAAGTCTTCCTGATAAAATTATCAGAGCTGATCTGGTAAAATTCCACTTGTTCAAAGTCAAAAAGAAATTTTCTGTTCAACCACTTACAACACATGGAGTGAAGATACAGATCTGGGTTATATCCGAGCGTATTTAACAAAACAACTTCCCTCCTCCCACTTCAAAAGCAGGCAGCTGTACCTCCCACATTACTTCTGTACTCGTGCGCTATTTGCTACCTGAGAATGGGCAGGTAGCATGGAAGAAGTGCTCTTTCTTACTCAGTTTTAGAAACACACAGTGATTTTACATTCACGAAATTATTTAGGGGAAAAAATAGCATAAGCAGTAATAATACTGAGTCCATAACCTGATATATTTTCCTATTAGGTGATAACAAGCCTCTCCAGCTTTTATACAAGTACAGATGGAAATAAAACATGCCATAAGTGAATTAAATGATATTTTTTCTCAGAAGCTTTCTTATTAACAATCTACTTACAGGGTCAATCATTTTCTAGAGAAATAAAGGCAATTTAACTTACAGGAGCAGCAGGAAAGTTGGATGATAGCTCATATGGTTCCTCTGAGATCCAATGACCTGATTCCAAAGACCACAGAACCTAAAATAAATCAAGTGGTTAAGTATAACTCTCATAACTTCTGGGATAGTAAACGTTCTGAATGTATAATAAGAATTAAGAGTGCGGTTACAATATTTGTTTTTTTATATTTTGTTTACTAAGTGGTTTCCCAAACCCTCCTCACAAAATTAAGCAATTAGAAAGTCACAGATTTTACAACTGAAACACAACATTGTAGAGAAACACAGAACTGCAGAGTGCACCCACAGCCAGCTTGCTGATGACACAAAGTTGGTACCAGGAAGTTGTGCTGCCATTCAGAGGGACCTTGCCAGGCTGGAGAGATGGGCAGTGAGGAACCTCATGAAGTTCAGCAAAGGGAAATGCAGGGTCCTGCACCAGGAGAGGAAGAACCCCAGGCACCAGCACAGGTGAGGGATGACCTGCTGGAGAGGAACCCTGTGGACACCAAGTTGACCATGAGCCAGCAATGTGCCCATGTGGCCAAGAAGGCCGATGATATCCTGGGGTGCATTAGGAAGAGTGTTTCCTTCAAGTCAAGCAAGGTGATTCTCCCCCTCCATCTGGAGGGCAGTGTCCAGTTCAGGACTGCCCAGACAAGAGAGACATGGTGCTTCTAGAGAGAGGCCACAGGCACAAACTGAAACACAGACAGTTCCATTGAAGTATGAGGTAAAAACTTCTTGACTGTCGAGGGTGACAGAGCCCTGGAACAAGTTGCCCAGAGAGGTTGTGGAGTCTCCATCTCCAGAGATATTCAAAACCTGCCTGAATGCATTGTGTACAATGTGATTTAGGTGGCCTTGCTTGTGTAGAGTAGGGGTAGATGATTGCTGAATGTCCTAATGTAAACCATTACGTGATTAAAGACACTGAAGTTATACTTGCTTGTGGAGATAAAATTGTCAGAATTCTTGGAAGGCAGGATATTCGTCATGCCAACTTCTAACACAGTGCAGAACACTGTTGGCCCCCTTTGCCATGAGAGTGCATTGATAGCGATCAATTGGTGGTCAGTGAGGACATTCAGGTGCTTCTCTGCAAAGTTACTTTTAGAGTAGGTCAGCCCCCAACCTGTAATGGGGTTAATCCTCCCTTGGTGCTGAACTTGGCGCTTCCCTTTGTTGAATTTCAGGAGAAATTTCTCTAATTTCTCCAGCCTGTCTAGGTCCCAAAAGCCCTCTGGCAAATCAGCCACTCCTCCCAGTTCTGCATTATCTGCAAACCTGCTGAAGAGGCAGTTCACTTCTGTCCCGTCCTCCAGGTCATTGATGAAGATGTTAAACAGCACCAACCCCAGCAGACTCCACTAGCAACTGGAATTATGAAAGCATTGCCAAATACAGATGTAAAACAGCCTCTAAGTAAAAGCAATTCCAATTTATTCTCTCCTGTAACCTCTTAGGTCAACGATGCATGCTCTGCATATTCTATTCTATATATAGAACATGTTCTAGATTACAATTAGTTTGCTAGAAATACAGAGCACTGACAGTCTAGAAAACACACGACCATTTGCGTTAGCTCTGCAACTCTGGATGGTCATGATCCTTGAAGAACAGCAGTCCTAACACTTAGATTTCTGTGACTCCCCTCAGGACAAGAGATGGCTACAAGATTGGTAACAACTTTAATGTTCAGTGATATTATTCCCTCCATATAGACTACTCATAAACTGAGGGTATGCTCGGGCATTCCCTCTACCTGTTATAGAAATGGTTCTCTAGCATATCAATATATGAAGAACAAATGAATATTGTAGGTGCACAATTATCTCATTTGCAGGATTCTTAACTCATTTTATCTACTACTTTGAATGGTTATATTTTCAATTACTGAAATACAGTGTATTGATTTTCTAAAAATATTACATCTGGGATTTTTCTCAGTTCATCTTTTAAATTATTCTTGAAAGCAATTTGTCATTATACATAGCAGCTAGTAGACTATAATATTTACATATACATATATATCCGTATATATATGAAGAGTGCTCAGACATAATGCCTCAGGGAGTAGAAAACAATGTCTTCACGGAAAATGGAAAAAAAAATAAGTTCCTATCATGGGCTAACCTTGAGCCTATACATTTTCCTACTAATTTCCTATTAATATTTTAAGTTCTGAAACACAGAAATATTCTAATGAAGTTGATTTTCTCTCTATTGGCTTCATCAGTGTCAGCTGAGCAATAATGTTAGCAAAATAGCTAATAAAAAACTAGCAAATTCTTTGTACTATCACACAATTCAGCAACTTTCCCTTTTAGAGATATTTGAGTTCTCATTTCTCTACCTCTCACTCATTTATGATTCTAATAACTATTCTTACTTGCTAAGGAGAGAGCATTCATGTACTTACAAACAAACAACACCCCCCAACATCGTGCTGTTTATAAGCAATAAGTAGGATTAAGTGCACAAGAAGATACCCTCCAAAATACATATATGGGATATATGGAATTAGAAGATAAATCCCTGTGTTTTGTATAATTCTTTCTCTGACAATCACATTTTGCCTAAATAGTTCTCTAGCCATTTCAAATGGATCATGTCTGTTCTGAACTGTTAGCACAGTCATGCGTAATTAAAATGTTATTTAACTTAGAAAAAGCTGAATTTCATTGCTGCTTAAAAAATTCCCATGTTTGATTTACAAATAACCAAAATGTTTTTTGGTTTTTTTTTTTGGTTTAACTTCTTTTGGAAGATGTTTCCATATATCTACTTACTGTTATGTATCATTTAAATTCTAAAATATTGACCAATAAAATTTGGGAAGCATAATAGCATAAGAGATATTAAGATTATATATTTTAATATAGATATTAAACATTATATTTATCCTTTACAGCTGTGCAGACTATGTGACAAAAGATGACTGTGAACTTAACAGACTGATTGCAATCCAGTATTCATTTTTCAAAAAACATAAGACCATCTTATAACAGCTTTCTACAAGGAACTTTTTTGCCCAAATTCCATTGCTACAAGACGCAACTTGTAAACTGAATTTTTAAAGCAATCTCATAATTATCAAGAATAACATCTATACTCCTTGGCCAAAAGTAGTTTATGCTTTATGACTTTCAGGGAAAACAACCACCTCTTACATAGACTGCTGCAAAAGTTGGTACTTCGTGTGACCAAGGAAATAGTGTTTTACTTGTGTCAGGGGGTGGGTGGACTCATGCTCAGTTTTGCAGGCTATTGAAAGCTAACAGCTTACAAAAATCCAGAGAATACAATGTTTACTTTTAGAAAATACACAATTCAATGTTTGAAAATGCAACAGCTGTACAAAAGGGGAAACTATTTCTGTAGTCATTATAAGCATACCAAACAAAAAAGTAAGACTTAGGAACATTAATAAGAACAAAAAAAAAAAGGGAAGAATTTTAAAAAAAAAAAAAAAGGAAGCATTGAAACATAATGGATTATTGTCTGTAAAGCAAATACAGTATCTTCTGAAAAACACTCAGCTAAGATTATAACGTAAAAGTTTAACCTTTCTAAAGGTGATATTTGTATCTTTTACATTATAGACCTAACAGATTTCAGAACTTCTATTTATTTACAACTTTACACCGGTATTGTAAATAAAAGAAACTTGTTAATCCAATACATCTCTCTCAATCACACAACAAAAATTAACTTTCACAGAACAAGGAAAAGCATAGCTTTTAATGCAGTTCTTTTAGAGACAAGCTTTATGAAGATTGTTCCTTCATAAATAAATCTTGAGCAGCACCAGATGTACTGTGCTCCATAATACATACCTCATGTCTGTAGAGCAATCAAAATGATGTCTGCACCAAGAGTAACTGGCAAACAACCCAAGTAGATTAAAAAATAAACCCAAAAGTTTAGTTATGTTTTAAGTAATCTCATTTCATTTTACAAGCCAATTTTGCAGTAATAACTTCTATCAATCCTTGTAGTATTTACAGAATCTTGTTTAGAAATGAATTTTGTTTATTTGAACACAAGATGGATTAATGCCTGTCTATCATGGGTCTGGAACTGCATACAGAGGCACTTTATCTACTTTCTTAGATTAAAAGGAAATTAGATACAGAGTTCATGAACAGGTCTTGCAGTAAATAATTAGGTTATCACTCTCTAAAACACTCAAAGTTTTCATGAACACAGAAAAGCTTGCTTCGAATTTCAGTAGAGATTTTTTCAAACTATTTTCATACCAACAGAAAAAAAAACGCAAAATCATGTAAATCCAAAATAAGATACAATTTACAATATTCTTGAGTGAACTACATTTTCTGGCTAAGCCACTAATTCTTTTATTCAATTATTCCTTAGAATGTGGAAAAAGAACAAAGAAAAGCATTAATTCTTAAGAATTCATGAACTATTTAAATTGAGAGAAATTACTTAGAAGTCTTCAAGTTTATATAGTTACGAGACAAGACTTAACTGAAAATGTAATTGGAAAGCAGCAGAGTATGGATCAAGCATGGTTGCCAGATACTGGAATATTGGAAGTTAGCAGCATAAAGCAGATAACATTATAGCAGGGTATATTTGATATATTTATATTGCTACTATAACTGAGTTTTGCTGGTCATGGAAGACATAGGGAAGGAGGAAAATAGGAAAAATATGGGTTGCTGGGTGGATCTATCATTACATTCCTACAGAAAGTTTCCTTTGGCTTTGGACTCCATACTAATCCTGGTCACTATTCCATTACTTCTTCCTTAAGTGTGGGCTACCTTATCTAACTCAGCAGAAGGCACCCTGCATGGTACAGAGCTTCAAGAAGTGTCCTGCAGATTGTAAGACTAGAAGCAGTGCCAGGTTTTCCCCTGCATATTCTATCAGCTTTATTCTAATTTCCATACCAGACATAGGTGTCTGAAAACAACTGAATGATCATATGGTATTTTTACTTGAAAAAAACACTATCTTGAAATATAAAGGGAGTTCTATGAAAACTGAATGTTTAACAGTGAGTTTTCTCCAACATTAGCGTTTGGAAAGAACATTAAGGGTTTTTTTTTTTTTTCAATAAAAGAAGAAAAGAAAAAAAAATCTTGCAGCCTAATTTCCCTCCACATAAAAGTCAAAAGGCAATGACAAATAAGGAACACTTCAGCTTCTTAAAGTGTTCAGATCTTCCATAAGACAAGCATCACCACACAAAATTAGTGTGCCTTATTTACAAAGTACTAATAATATCAGACAGACCACTATTTTAAGTATCCAATTTGAAATATTTTACCAATTAGAGTACTCATATTAAGATTAACCACAGTATAGAAAGGTATTTAAAGAGTTTGGTAATTGAGCATTAATAGAATGGCAAGATTATTTTCATCAAATGAAATTCTCCTGACTCTCTCTACAGGATTCCTCATGGTTATAAGTAAGGCTTCTCCTCCGGTAAGTATTCAATCACATAATAAAAGTAAAACAATGCAAAATTATGTCAATGACAAATAGAAGTAAGACAAGAAAGCTCTTACATAATAAGATAATAATAATAGAGTAACAAAATGCATGTATTAACCAGATTCTTAACCAGATTAGTATTTTTTTCTTTGAAATCCAAAGTTATGTCTTCCAAAAAGCCTCAACAAAATAATGACTAATTATTAGTGAGATTTTTAATGGAGTACTAGCCAGCCTCAGTGAAAGACAGGTCTACAAAAATGAATTGTAGCAATATTCACACAATATATAGTGAATAGTTATGAATAGATTTTTAAAATTCTGTTATTTAGAGGATTATGTTTTTCCTCTAGATTGTTTTCATGCAGCTCTCCTAGGCTTCCAAACTTTGTCTAGACATCAGATCAATAAAAATGTGGGAAGACAACTTCAGGATTTAAGCCAATAAGCCTTACAGGAACAAGTTCATTTTTTTAAACTGATTCAGTTAATTTATTGGTATTATACGAAAGATCAAGTTGACCCTGTGATGAGGCCTGGCTTCCCTACCAGTCAATACTGGTCTGGCAAAAAGAGCACATTGATGTTTTCATCATGAATTGGTTCAAAAAAATGACAAGTCTGGCAGTACATAAAACAAGCAATGAAACCCCAAAACACCAATTATGAGAATACTGACTGCCCTATGCACAAAGATAGGAAAACCCAAAGGATACCAGAACAGCCTCTTCAGATAACTACATATATATAAAGTCCAACTTTTCCACACTGGTTTAGACAGACATTTTGTAAATAAAAAAGTATCAATATTTATTTTGTTTTCAATTGAAAAATAGATTTTAAAGTATTATGAGAAAAAAAAAGAATTTATTCTACAACCATTTTTATAGAATTTTTGGAATTTTTATAGAAAGAGCTGTTCAGCAGCTATGTTTTACAACTTTGGGAACATGAAGAAAGCAGACAAACTGCAGCCTGTAAGGTCACAGTAAATGGTTGGCAATTGACTTCCATAATCACAGTGAGTAATTCACTACATTATCTTGGCTTTGCAGGAATGGTCTGGTAACTTTATGTGGTAGTTCACAGAAAATTTTAAGGATATACAACAGTTATTTGATCCCATTTTTGTTTAAAAAATGTTTTACCTTTGCTCAGCAAAATATCCAGTAACTCCCCTATATTTTTACCCTATGTTACATTTGAACAAAACTGTCTTTCAAGACAGAACTGTATTAGATAAGCAGCAACAACAACAACCTGATACATTATTCCTACTCAGAATCCATACTTTGGATAACACTGAGCAGAAATGGTTTATCTGGGCATTAAGCTGTCCAGAAATAATGCATGTGACAATTTTTATCCATCTGCCACATATTGATATATTAATGGAAAGCTTTAGGCATTTCCACATTGCCCACTGAAGTGCAATATAAGAATACATTTGTTAGATTTAGTAGTAAATGACAGTCAGTCACGGTAACACAGAGCTTCACAGAGATAAGTTTCCTCTAGCTGAGCTACGTAGTAGGTAAGTCTAACATCCACTTGCTGATATAGTTGATATTACAGCTACATAAAATAAGCTTACTTTATTTTGTAGTAAAATTTAAGTATATTTCTTACCCATTCATAAGAAACAATCCAACATCCACGAGCAATTCCTAGCATAACATTCAGAGTACGACGAGGACTTCCTGCAACTACATGACTTGTTGTATCACATACGTTATCCGAGAACGAAAACTTTCCCAGTTTATTCACTACTTGAATTATAGTATTTTGTTTTCTAAAAAGAAGAAAAAGAAAAAGCATATACTATTGAATGAATATACAGTTAAAAAATCTGATCACAGACAGATTGTGTTCATAGAGTTTTATCTTGTATATGAAAGTTCTTTTGCTCCCTGAATCTATGCTGCCTGCTTAAATAGAAATTATCTGAATTAGAAATCACCATATTATTTGTGTACAAGAGCTAGTACAACACAGTCACATTTGCAGTTGCTTCTAGAACACTATCATCAAAAATACTGCTGTGAAACAAATGGCATTGAATGTCACTGGACTATGTATTCCCTTGGTGTTTTAACTTGACACATCCTATGAGCGATTTTTTTTCCAGTGAAACCCATAGATAAACTGACCTTTCCTAGGCCTGTTCAGGTGACACATTTTTCATGCACTAACCAAAGTCTTTCTTAGCAATGTTTTTGTGTATAAAAAATCCTTAAAATTAAAGGTCCCATCATACAACTAAGAGCTAAATGTAACACCAACTACAGTGAAAACTCTTGAGTTCATAGTTGGGCCAGCTACAAAAAACTGCTGCACACAAATTTACAGCAAAATTTCACAGAACTTGTGATTCAGTTACTGAATCAGTGAGCAGCAATTAATATAAGCACTGTCTCATTAAACCACTGAACTAACATATCTTGTAACTTAAATATTAATGAACCACCTTTATCGTTGTAGCTACTTAGTAGTAGCTTTTGGCGACTTTTGACCAATTTGAACATAATTGGCTTTTGCCTGTTGGCTTGTACTTTAGAGGAATGTTTTCAGTCGTTTAGTTCTTTCAAAAGCACCCACTAACAGGCTGATGGATGCCTATGACTTGAGATAGTCCAAAGCACTATCTTACTGAAAAAGTTCTGAAGAACAGCAATTATTATCACTAGACTTTAAAAATATGTAATCAAATAGCAACTGTTTAAGTAACACATCAAACATTCTTTCAACAAAATATTTTCCCCAGCTCCGGCAACATTTGTTCTCTTAATGCAGATCACCACCTCTGGGCTACCACTGCTCTCATCTACATTACAGCTATTATCTTTAGCTCCCTGACAATGATAACGTACTGCATGATTTGAGAAGTGCATTTACAGTCTCTGTGTATCCATTCCACAGAGTATCCATTTTATTAGATGACAAGCATTATTAATTTTGTTTCTGACCTATTGTGTTCTTGACAATGGCTACTGATAATTATTTACAAAGAATTTCAAAAAAAGTGGCCAGAGTGCTCCTCCTCAGTGCCCACATCCACACAACGGTCATGATTAATTATTTTTCTTTAAACCTGAAATATTTTGTACAAACATGTTGAGTTTTGAAAAAGAATTCAGACATTGAACCAAGCACACTATGAAATATGAAATTGTGTTTTTGTTGGATGTCCTTTATTTTCTAAAAGTTTTAAGAGAATGATAAGAGCAAGCTAGAAAAAACATTAACTCTTCTCCAAATATGCAGTGGCAGCTGTTCCTAATTTTTTGCAACTAGAGTAGCTAAAAAGTCTAAAGCTGATGTTTCTTCAGCAACTATTTATGTGAAAGAAGCACTTTAAACTGATTCAGATCATGATGGCATTTTCTATTAAAATAATTGAAATTTATGTGGAAAAGCTATTTCTTGTGCTGAAAGTCTGAACCATTTTTCTCAAACTCCACTTTTAATACTTCCTTCAGAAGAATTCACAACCTGCTTAGAATTTTTCTTTTGGTTTGTATTACCTTGAAGCCCTGTTGAGCTCACCTATAGAAAAACAACTTGTCTAGCTCAAAACACACATGCAAATGCCTACGCAGCATACATAAAAACAAAATATGGTTGTGTGTTTTCAGCTAGAAGGCAGAATGAAATCAGATATTTTAACACGATGCATAAGTAAGTTTCATTTTCTACAGACGTTAAAAAATTAACAACATTCAAGTTTAAGTTGACTGAAGAGTCAAAACGTTTAGTACTTACTCTGAAGACATACTTGTCATAACTAGTGTCCTTGTTGGCTAGAGATGTGAAAAAAAAAAGACAAAAGAAAATCAAAAATCTGTAGTTTTCTCTGAGAAAAAGACTTAAAAAATGAAGCATTTCATTAAAAGAACCGAACCACTTCATACTTACAGTGTCAACTGAGGCAAAGGCTGTACGAATTACTAAAAATGATAAACTTCAAGGACATGGAAGGAAGGAAGCCCCTCCACCGCATCTGGTATCAAACCACCCAACAGACAAAGAAAAGAGTGGAACTTTTCATCAATGAGTTCAAAACAAAGCAAACGCTTTCCAGACATAGATACCACTGGAATTCTTGGGTCTTTCCAATGGGTCTTTCCCATTTCTGTTCCCTGTCCCACCTATTTCCACAGCTGCGTATGGAAAGTTCCCAGAATCTCTCTGAAAATTCAATTTCCTTTGAATTCATGTATTGAGCAGAGAGCTCAAAATATTTCAAATCGACTTATGGCCAGTAGCACAGGCCAAAAAAAGACTCAAGAGGCAACCAACTTTGCTCAGTAATGAATCATAGAACTGAGATGGAACCTACTCTAATATAACTCTCTCTCTCCTCTCTTACCAGTAGAGAACCACATTGTCCATTAAGTATTCAAGCAATTTAAGCATTCAAGCAATTTGTCACATTTGAGAAGAACAGAGTTACTTAGAATTAGCTCTGCAGACTAAGCGCCTCTCATTTGTACCATGACTATATAGGTCTTCAATTTACAAAAAACCTTTGCATAAATAAAACACAATTTAGATACTCTTGACAGGTCAGATATTACAAACCACTGCTGTATACATGCTAGTATTTTTTCCTTTGCAGCAATGCTTTGTTCCAAAGATGCTTTAACCAAAAACATCATAGAGTGCGACTTGAGGGTGGAGAGGGAATCTTTTCATTACCACATACAAACTAATTTCATCCCGAACTGCGTAGGCCATACTGTTGTAACACACAAAAAGTTGTTGAAATTTACTTAATATGCTAAAGCTTTAAGGGATCCTTGGGGATCTGAGAGCTCATGACTACACTAAACATGGCTTTAAAACATGCTTTTCTCTACCCAATTTTTCTAGGTTGTAAATCTCACCTCAATTCTGCAGATCGCTTCAGCATGACCCTGATGTTCTCCTTCAGTACCTGACGTAAAGCCTCACCGCCATCTGAATAAAGCTCTTTGGCTAAAGTCTGGAATTAGTCCACACAAATAGCTACGCTACAACCCCCAAGGCCATCGTATAGCACTTGCCCTAAATTCATATCCTGATGCACCTGCTTAGTTGGAGGAATATGCAGAAAAGTGTCCATGCTTGCAACTGAAATGTTAAAAACAAACTAATGATCAGTCAAAACTTTTGCTAACAAAAGCATTACAATAAGAAACATGGTTTCAGATCCCTATAGTGGTTTCCTCAGGTTCAGAGCATAAACATTTGTTACCTGTAGTTCCTTAATACCTCATCCTTAAGGTGGCAAACATGCTGGATTTACACAAACTGTGAAACCCGACAGATTGTCCTGACATTACCCTCAAAAACCAGCTTTTATTCAGACAACACATAGCATCAAGAGCACAGACTACATCAGAATACAGTGAATACTCTGTACAAGTGCCCTCAATGCTCCTCCTCTGCCAGCGCTCTCACAAAGACATCAAAATCTCAAGAACGCCGAGGGAGGCATAAAAAAGGCAGACACTGGTATGAACTGAACCCAAACTATTATTCCATCTTCCTTCAGAGAGGTGTATTTTCGGCAAGTCAGAGGTCATTTGCTAAGCAGAGAACATTGCTTTTTAATGCTTCAATAAAGACAACCAGTCTTTAAGATAGTTAGCTACTCATTAGAAAAATCGGCCAAACTATGTCTTAATTTTCAGTTATACATCTTAACTTAATAACTTTTCTTTTTTGCTTATACAATTTTTCTTCAACAATACTTGTGTCTGTTTTATTTTACATTTTGCTTTACTGCAAAATATTGATTTAACATTTACCTTTCTGACTAGCCAAAAGACATCTGGTGATCATCATTATGAATTCTAATGCACATTAATGGATAATTAATCTCAACTACTAAAAAGTTGCATATTTGCACTTTAAATCAGAACATGTTTCTGAATTATTTTTTTTAGCTCGAGAATGTGGACTGCTATAGACTATGTACCTATAGAACATGTATGTTTCAGCTTTTCTTTTACTATTTCTTAGAAGCACTGTTGCATTAACATGTCTTTTTGAAGTCTGCCAACAATCAAATTCTTCCAAGTCATATGAAATACAAAACATGCATTTCAATACCTCAAAGGAAATAATATTTCTAAACCCTCTCAGTATTTAAACACAATGCAGTATTCCCTGTATTTTGGTTGATGTACACCACAAAAGAGATATCCAACCTCAAAATGTGTTCTTTACTACTGCTAATTCTCAGTGGGTGTTTCTTGGAGCTCAAGGACAATAAAAAGAAAAATCGTATTGTACAAGCAGCTTTTCAAAAGTGTGAGTTCAAATTGTTCCCCTAGGAATACCATGAGTGACAAAGTGAACTAAAAAGTGACCATAACAAATGTCTTTCCAGGCTATTTCTCAAGAATAAAACACATCCATGTAAGAACTTACTTGATAGAAATTAATGTTTTACATTTGTCACTGCTTAAATTCTGCCCTAAACAAATTAGATCCTCTTTTGTGCTTGTGCCCAGGGCTTGGATTTATTTATTTGTTTGTTTTTCTCCAAGAAAGAGTACCAGGCTATACAAGCAACTTCTCAAGCATGTACTGTCCTTTAATAAGCAAAGTATTCCACGACTTACTGAAGCTGACCCACATCCCAAAGGGAATGATCTTCAGCATTTTCTTATACTTGAACATACATGGTAATAGCACAAAAAGATCTTCACCTTTAGGGCTTAACAAGATTTCCTATACATTTTGGCCCTTATGCGAGGGATCAAGGACTAGGAGGAGGGGAGAAAAGTTTTGTGTGTGTAGGAGTTACTGAGAAAACAAAAGTATTATGCCTACCCATTTCATACTCTTTCAAAGCTCTTTTTTTTTTTTTTTTTTTTGCTACTGTAGTAGCCCTCCAGTTCTGAGACCGGCTCAGAGTTTATGTATTTGCTTTCAATCTTTCTAGCTGTACTTCAGCAGTAACATTCTTTAGTCTTTACAGGAGCCATAAAACCGAACTATGTGGAACATGAAAATATTCAGGAATTAGCTTAATTTCACTCTGCTTTCATCTACAAAATGCAGATCTAAAACTTTAAGCCTGTTTCTAAAAAAACAGCCTCTAAGTTGTGCTACTTTATTCTGTTAATGTAACTATGGCTCACAGTTGACAATAATGTGTAATTGTAGTGAAGACTTACTATTCATCAGTAGCTTTACACAGTGATAGCTCAAAGCATAATTTACATGCTGGCTGGCTTATGTCTCCTTATCAGTCCTTTAATACTGTTATTTTTCTGGATTTCTTTGGCTGCAAAGTGAATTTCAACTTTAATTTCCTGACCAAAAATAGGGCCTCTGCTTTTATCCTAGAGAGATATGAAAGATGTGGTCATCTTAATCCAATCAATCCTATGATAGGGAAAGATAAAAAAAGAAGGAAAAAGAAAAAAGAACAGATTATAACATGACAGAAAAATAAAAATGACATGACAGGCGCCTAGAGGTCAAAATGTCACTCGCTGTCAAGTATTGGAAATGAGGAATCCTGTAATCAACAGACGTAGGAGCCCCTAGGAGTTCTGTGGCCAGGATTAAGAAGGATGAATCGCTGTCACTTCAGACTTCCAGAGAAGCAGTGGCACTTAAAACATTTACTGACATTTTCGGGGCACACGAAATTCTGCAGCATGAGACAGATCTCCCAGATCTCCGCAACTTCAAGGAACCGTTTATCTGGCCATGGCCATCAGCAACTAGAAACTCTTTTTCCTGCAGGACAAGCAGTAAAGGGAGAGTGGGGTAACAAAGTTGCCCTTCTCACTGCTGTTTGACTGCAATCAGAGAGGTAAAAGTCAATCAGCATGACATAAAAAGCCACAAAACAATGACTACCACTTCTACAGAGATGGCAAGCACAGCAAAGACGCACAGGAAAGATTCTGGTTCTGTCCTGTGTCTAAACCCTTCCAGGAGGCAGGGGCTCGTGTTTAGCTTCCTGACTGGTGATTCTCAGGGAGCAGCAGCACAGTCCTCCCTTGCCCCTTATTAGTGAGGTTCTGCCTGTAGAGCATATGGTGCAAACCATGACAGGGTGAAGAGAGAGCCTGCCCGCTCATATAAGACAGAAGTTCAGGAAGTGGGATGCTATGGGTGAAAAAATAATATAAATTAAGAAGTAGTTAACATGGAATAAAGAAAGCTCAAGTAAAGATCTCCTTCTCTGTCCACCCCCTAAAATAAATAAGTACATAAATAAATAACCACATGGCAGGATAAAGAGGAGGAAGGGTTGTTATAGAGCCACACAGGGCTAAGGAGAAAACTCATACATGCAAGAAAAATTGTAAAGACTTCAGTAAAGCAAAAATAAATTCCGTTGAATAATTTCCATATATCACTTCCACCAAACAGATCATCTTTCCAAGTGATCTGATGAAGCGAACGAGTTGTTCAGACACAATTGAATTATGAGGCTTAAAAAAAACTTCCAAATGGCTTCAGCTGACATACCCTAACAGATTAATCAAGCAATTTACAGAAGTAGAGGGCAGCAGGAGGTAAGTTCTAGTGAAATTCATGTTTTGTTTCTTAAGTGCTCATGGGCCATCCATTCCACGTCGGCTGTGCTGGTTGCCTCCCTCATGGAGCAATGAGGGCAAGCCAGGCCCCTTCCTTCTCAGCCACCTCCTTAGAGAGGTCACGGGCTCAGTGATGCTGCTCATGATGGATTTGCAATCAGGCAGAACCAAAGGAGGCACAGGGAGATGCAGGTCCCACCGCACTCCTGCTGCAAAGATGAAAGCCACAAGAGGGAAAGAACAATCTTTAAAACACCTGACCTGTCCAAATTAAATTAACAGAGTGAGATTTATTTGGATAGTTGAAGTCTTCTAAAGATTTCCAACAATGCAGCAAGAGAAGTGAATTTTAGATGAATTTCTGAGGTCATCTCTCCTAAAAGACTGGCTTTATTTTAGCTATAGGTTAGGATACAAGGTAGCAAACTTCAGTAAATGCTCTGCTAACAAGACTGTGACACACCTGTGTTGGAGTCAGTCTGAGCTAAAGCCTTATTGGCCTCTAGACAATGTAAGCAACTTAACTGAACAGCACTTACCAAAGGTTTTCATGTGCACCAGCAATGTTACGAAGAGTAAAAGAAAATAAACACAATTTCATCAGAGATATGACAAGTTGAACAGAATTAAACTCACTTCGCATTAACAATTTCTTCTCTAAAAAGTAATTTATTGTGGAATTTTCATTTTCTATGGAATAGTCATGCACACACACACACAATTCTTTTAAAAAAGAAATTCTGGAGTTTTTACCTATGATGAGCAGGCACAGATTTCAGCATTTTTGATTCTTCATGCTAACGAGGTACAACAATTAAAGAGGAATGTGGTACAAGCCTTCTCTTTAAGAGACTGCAGATTAATATTATTGCACCATCCAGACTTCCACGAACTGCAAGTTCTACAGAAACCACATTTAGAAACTGTAAAATTTAGATGTAGAAAACAATGAAGCAATTTGTTAGTTTACACACACACACAAAAAAAAAAAAAAAAAAAAAAAGATCTGTCAATTCTAATGAGTTAGGAGTTTAGGAAGTTCTTTTGTTCAGACTGATTTACAACCATTTTCAAGAGCTGTGAGGATATCACTTGGAAAGCAGTTCCATCACCTAGAGGATTTCCGGCCCATAGAGTCATGCCAGGTACCAGTAAGTTTACATAGGATGTTCATTTTTCCGAGAGTTAAATTTCCCAAACAAGAGGATCTAGCCAGCAGTTGCTCTTCCTCCTGGCGGCTCCTGATGCCAAGAGGGAAAATAGGCTCAGTTTTACACTGAGTTGTTGCCAAGACTACTACAGTCCAGTGGATTATTTGGGTTCGGGGTATGATAGTTACGATCTAGAGCTTTAAGCGTAACAAGGTGCCAAGGAAAGGGAGAACGACCTTTCTTGGTAATTATAGTTAAGTCAGACCATGCAAATGCAATTTCTGCAGCAAGGCTGGCATGAGTCCCAAGCGCCCAAACATGAAGAATGTTTTGCCCTCATACTTGCTACAGAACTTGTGCAGTTTCCCACCCTGCGCAGAGCCAGGAAAAGCACTGCATCCGTTTCTTCCACATAAGCCTCTCTGCCATCCAGTGGATTTTTAAAGAAGAGGTCAGAGAAGGTGTAGATGTATTTGAGATAACTTAGGATTTGAGGATTTTCTTTTCTATCCTTATCTGTATATACTTTTCAACACAGTTGACGTTAATGTCATCTCCCACTTGCATTAAAGTGAAAGAGTGAAAAATACCAAAATGCAATGAAACTTTCCTTTTACACAAGTGCTTTGCACAAGTCCATCTTTCCCGACATTAAATCAAACATCTTTTCCAGGCCATAACAAAAAGGTAGTTCCAGCACCGTCAAAGTTAACTATAAATGAGCTTGAGTGCTTCCACCACGTCTAATTCAGAGTAATTTAACATTCCTCTAAAACTAGGAATTAGCAACATTTCATGCATGTTCTTAAAATACTTTTAGATACTTTGGCTATTCAATGACTTAAATCAACATTGGAGGTAAACAGAGTGAGATGCAATGATGTTTCTGTCAGTGCACACTTATGGACATCAAGTTGCTTAATTGTATTTCTGGCCAGGCACTTCATGTTTTATAGTTGCAGATTTTTCAGGATGCAAAAATCTGGTTTGCCATGAACAACATATTTTCAAAAAGCAGTTTGTGGGTAACAGGATCCAAAGAGGTTCTTTTTCACCACCATCTCCATTGTATAAAATGTTTTTTTTAAATAAAGATCTGCCTCATAAAATCTCATCAAGTTCTGCGTTAAAAATCCAAGATCAGTATCAAATCCAAAAGCCACAGAAATACAAGCCAAGATTAATCTGTTTAAAAACAAAACTTTCAGCTAAGTCTATGCTGTCTTCTTTGAGGAAAACATGGTTTTAATTATCCCTTATGATACTTAGCTGCTTTCTCACATGGTTAAATACTTTGCGCTATTCTATCTCAAAAAGACAGTTGTTTCCCGGGGGTTTCTGAAGAAAAAATACATTTTAGTTGCATTTCTAAGTGACTTGATACTATGAGGTCCTTAAAAAGAAGCACATTTCTTTCTAAAAACACTGAGCTACCTTAGTTGAAACAAACGTAGTGATGAATGCAAACACTGTGTGACATTGAGCAATGAAATGAGCACTCAACCTTATACCAACAAATTAACACTACTGAAATTAGTTTATTTGAATAAATCTCTGACTTTATGTTTTTTAGTGACATCACTGGGTCATCCTCATGCAAAAAAGCAATGTATTTTAATCCATGGAAAAACTGAAAGATGCACCACAATATGTAAAGGGTTTATTTCACCCTTGAACATCAGTGCCATCAATTTCAATTTCTAGACCAGGGAAGCCACCTGCTGACATTCATAGGTATTAACCAACACACCACTTACTCTTACCAGCTCTGCAGTGAGCAGTCTGGAAACGATTTCAGTTCTGAGCCATGACAAACCATAACCAAGAAATTCTTACACATTGGGCCATTAAAAAAAAAATCTACCTTTGTGTGAATATAAGCACAACACTTTAAAACACTTGATTTTGTTACAAAAAACAAGGACCTTCCTGATGCTACTAAGGCTTTTTAATTTCATTTATCTTCCCTCAACACGCCTGAAGCTGCTGCTAGACCGCTCTGTCCTCACAGTTTTTGCTAGTTTACAAGCAAGAATTTTAGATAACTCTGATTAGAAGCCATTCATGTTAGAATACAATGAGCACACCTATATGCATAACACTGATAAAGAATGAAAATGAGCACTTGTAATTTACAGTTCTGATCTGTGTACCAAAAATTCATTCTCTATTTCAACTTCTGCAGACAAAACCAAGCAAAACTGCATAAGGTTTTGAAGAAAATAAATGTATAACAATAGCATTGCAGAGAAATACCAAATTTACAGCTTGATTTAAAATATATTAAAGAAACCATTTTTTTATAGAAAGGAAAGGTCTGGAGATATTTCTGGTATAGTTATTCTATTAAAATAACTGCAAAATGGCATTTTGTTTATCTGTGCATTTTTCATATATGCTTCCTTTTGAGATGGAAATAAGCATTAAAATGCTCCATAACCCTGTGAGTCAATAAAATGACCTTCTTGAAATATTTGTGCTAATCCTCTCACTTCTTGCTTCAGCTAAAAGAAACAAAACCATAACTTATAATTTAACCTCACTTTCAACGTGTTAAGCATTAATAAAATGTTGCAATAATTAAATTCCAAAGGAGAATGTAGATCAGGTTGATTTATATATTCTACAATACTTGAAGTTATTATTGACATAAATAAATATATTGATATTTAGAAAAAGGAACCAAACTAATAATTAACAAATGCATCAAGTATTGAGATTCAGGCAATTAGTTAAATCATATTTTTACCCCAGAGCACTATTCGATCCACAGAAATTAGCATTCTACCTTCAAGAAGCTTAAAAATTGAAACGCGTACTAATTGCACCTGCTGAGAATGTCAACATAAGAGAGGATCAAAATCTTTGATCAATTTCTTTGAAACTCTACCAATAGCTAGCATTGAAGCAACCCTAATTTATTTCATAGAATTAGCTAATATTTCTTTCAGTACTTTGGGACCTCCCATTCTCAAGACAAATCAGTACTCTCCTTTTAACTACACTACTTTCTACTTAGTGATAAAAAGAACAAAAGAATAACTTATTTTTCTGATGATCAGTTCCATATTTCTTAAGGAAAAAAAAAAAAGAAAAAGAAAAAGAAAAAGAGAGATTAACAGCTAAAACAACCAGACACCCTTCCTCCCAAACTACTACATTTGGTAATTCCCAAAAAAAGGGTTAAGTATCTTTTCAGGTCAGGATCATGCATGCACTATGAATTATTTGTGCAGTGAAAGCATTACTATGCCTTTTTTTTTTTTTTTTCGCTTTTTTTCCAGGGGGTAACACAGAAAGCCAAGCTCCATGGTTCTACATATTGTCTTTAAACACAATTCACATAACAGTTTAAGAAAAATAGGATTCAGAAAACCTTTTGAAATTGACAATGCATAACAAATGCAGGTTTTGCACCTCAATGATTTATCAAGAAAAGAGCTTAACAATGACCTTAAACTGACCTTCGGAAGTCTTCTAGTTTGTCTTAACCCCCCTTTGAGCCTATTCTCTTGTTCCTTAAGAAGTTTGCAAGAGCCATCAGTAGCATGACATTCTGAAACTTCATTTTCATCACCTAGAAATCAAGCATATTAAATTTAGAAACTTGAAATAAAACTATGATCCTACAAAATGAACTTGCTACTAATTATTTTATCTGTGTAAAGCTGCACACAATGAAGAAATCTTAATTTTTAATCAAAGTTAATAACCTATACCAATTATTTTTCTATTTTTTTCTGATTTTATTTTCAATAATGGAAAACAACACTCAAGCATCTAACTTAATCATTCAGTTTCTGATCTTGAGAACAGACCTGATAAAAAATTGCCAAATTTCAATATTTTTAATATCATTTATTAGGCAGAACTGACATATCAGTTAAATTAGTTTTATTACAAGATTTATAATATCTCTAAATTCACACAATACAGAGGGTTTAGACAACGGATGGGTAAATATTTCCTTTCTTATGGAAGTGTCAGCGCTTCCAGCACTGCTCTGTAATGACCAAACACATTGCTGTACACCATGTATTTGTCAGCACGGAGCTAATTGCTTATCCAAACTCCTCAGCCCCTGCCTTGCACTGTCAGAACACAATGTGGCTACCACAAAGCAGCAAGCACTTGCATTGCCTATTCATGAATATATATTTCTGTGAATATAGATTTTAATTCTTTTGTGCTGTAAGAATGACCTATAAGGACTAAAATTTCTCAAGACATTTGAGAAAATTGGCTTGCATAAGATCTAAAAAAAACAAAACAACAACAAAAAAACACACACTTTGATCTATTTTTGATCAATGAAGCTTTAATTACTACGGATTTAAGAAGCTTAAATTAAGATTTAAGTTAATTCAATATTCAATAGAATCTATTAAAGTTTAAAAAAAATCAAAGAAATGCCTATATCAGTAACATCACTAATTATTAAAGTTTTAGTTTAAGGTTTAAGTCCATCTCCTCCCAAATAAGTTTTGATCATTTTTAGAAGATATTGCAGGATGCTATATCCACATTTACTAATCCAATTGCATTTAATTCGGTCACATAAGTTAAAGACACACATAGAAGCACACAGCAACCAAGAATCTTTTATTTCTCCTCCTCTCAGCTACTTAAATTCTTAATGCTTGAAAAGACAGGACAAATAAAAAAGATGACAGACCACCACATAAGACAACAAATATTTTCCACTACTGATTAATTGCACCATTTCTTCCCACTGAAGTTCCAGATTTTATATCAGTTCACACTCAGTTTCACAGTAGCTCTGTGTAACAGAAGAAAACCAGAGCCTTCCCAAACTGAAGACATATCTACACAAAGAATAATCTTTCCTGAACTTGCAAATCAGCTGTCACGTTGGCTGGCTTTCAGTGTACCTGAAATCAGTAGTTTAAACCCTATCATCAGTAAACCCTATCATACAGTACCCCTGTATCATCAATTTAAACCCTGTATTTGGATGAAAAGCATCATTTAACAAATGGAGAACTGATTATTTAGGTGTATTAACTTTATTTTTCATTGCACGAGAGCTTATCTTCAATTGCAGAGCAAAACTAATGATAAGAGGAAGAAAAGGTCTCAGTTTGCTAAGCAAGAAAAGAAACTGATAAAAGTTATTTTAATCACTGAAAAAAAAACAAGCCCCATTTTATTGTTTTTTTTTTTTTTTTTTGGTGGGGAGCTAAAGTGCTAACACACTCTTTGTGTCACTCTTGGCCTGAATGCTCAAGATCCTCAGCTCTTATCCCTCGTGGCGGTATAATCCAAACCCCCAAATGCTTGGACTTCTTTCTAGTTCAGTTTCACTACTCAATGATTCTTCACATTTACAGGAAAGCAGTAGCAGGGCACCAGAACCACTGAATTACATACATACGTATGTATGTGTTATGCATTACATACATAGGCACCATTCTTTCTAATCCAGTTCCTACCTCCTCTAAGGACTCCTCAGCACTTCATTGCCTTTCCATGTCATAGCTTTAAAGCCTTTTTCCATGACTGTTGCTTTTTAGAACATCCTGGTCTCACATAGGGAAGTTTTCATACTTAGCAGCCCTTCCTACAGTATTTCAGGTGAGGTTTTCCATAACCTTTTGAAACAATTCACCCCCTATTAGCCATCCCTAAAGCTAACTTGCATCAAAGCAGGCCACTAGCTTCCCCTAGATTCTCTTCTAAAACATTGTTCAATGACAACTATCAAAATTTCCTCAAATCTGATAGTTCTTTGAAGTGTTAGGAGCCCTCTGAGTAACTTTAATTTGCACTTTTAAGTTTCTCATCATTCATGATCGTTTATCTTCAATGAGAAGTTTTGATCTAGAAGAACATAATTGCATTGATATTTACTTTGATATTTTTGATATATTTAATTTGATATTTACTTCTAGCTGACAGCAAAATAAAGATTAACTACTTTGGGCTAGTATTTGGCCAGTCACGTCAGTCATGTTCATATAGTGACAATTATCTAGAGTAGTGTTCTACTTGGAGAATATTGCATAGTCTCACTGAAAGCAAACTGTACCACATCTACTATTTTGTACTTACCCAGAGTTGTTAACCCTGTGAACAAACCAAGTCTGAATTTGCCATCATGCTTAAACCTGCAAGTATGTATATACAAACTATTTAACAACTTGTGTTATTATTTCAAGGTGGGCAGGTATTAAATACTGGTTAGTCAGAACATCTTCAAGCTCTCTGAAAGCTGGTGTCTACCAGGTTTTCAAATAAACCTCCTCAATGGTTCAGAAACAATTTTATCTAGTTTGTAATCTGCTATAGGACAAGTATCATCAGCCTTTGTAATTTTGACATTGAAATAATCCTCAACCTATTACTTTATTTTGAAACGATTTTCATTTATTGTTTTAATAATTATCTACAACTAATTTTGGGGGAGAAGATGAACAAAAAAGTCAAACAAGAAGCAATTGTCCTTATCATCCCTTATTTGTTTAATAAAGCACACTAATAAAATAATGTCAATAAAGGCCATCATACAATACTTTTGCAAGCTTTTCTTCTAAAACTGGAAAAGAGATTAAAAAGGTAGATGAAATCTAAGCAGATTCAAATGTGTGTATTTAAAGTAATAGTATTTTAGCACTCTTAAGCACTCATCTAGAAATTCTGGATCTAGAATCTCAGGTAAAATTCATTCATGAAAATAAAGCTTGCTCAACTTTGCAACAAAGACATTCTAGATTTCCCATCCTAAGTGCAGTGGACTGCAATGGATCTTGGTTTGCATCTCCTGCCAAATAGGATAATATTTGCTTTCAACATTCACAATAAATACCTAAAATTCAACTGAGCTATAAGTTTATTGTTGAGACTAGAAATAATAGAAAGTCCGCGTTGAAGTTTGAGTGATTGTTAGATGATAAAGCCTTAGATGTAAGTAATCTTTTGCATTCCTTGACTAATACTATTTGTTGCTGCAGTTCTCAGATGAAGAGACGAAGGAATTCAACACGAGAGCAACCATTGCTCCTAAACCATGCAGTTCAAGTGCTAGCTCATCTTACCACCAGCCCTACGAAAAGAAATACTAAGCCTATGAAGTGGTTGGAAGCAATGCAATTCACAGCTTTAATGATACAGATTTTTACACATCCCTCCTAACACAGATCTTCAACTCTCACAGAAAGTAGCACTATTGCATTTCCATAAACTTATAAGAAAACCTACCCATTTTCACTCTATAATTGCAGAAAATCTTAGTGCTGACATGCAAAAAAAGTTACACAACAGATATTGATTACACAGTACTAAAATATCAAATGTGGCTCTTTTACTCAAAAGGATAAAAAAAATTCATTTCATCTCCCCCTGGTTATTTCTGATGAAAAGGGAATTTGAGGGGGAAAGATTCCTGTATATTCTTATAAATCCTAATTAATTTCAATTCTTCCATCTGTGACAGATCTCTACATAATTTGACTTGAACAAAATAAAAAATAGCCAGATTAATGCTTGTGCTGTTCAGAAGAAGAAATGGATGGCCATGAATGTGCCCTAAAGAGAACTCATGAATTCTGCTACAACATAAAGTTTCAGACTTGAAAAGTCGATCGCTGGTTAGCATACATATTACACTTATGCATTAAAACCAAAGGTTGCAATTGGCCTGCACACCGAGTTTTTATGATAATCTTATTTCCTTTCATTAAAGACATTGGGTAAGACAACTACTGACATAAAATAACAAGGAAAAAGTGGACAAGAATCACGTTTGATATTTGAAATATATACAGATATATAATTAAAATCTTGGGTGGATATCAGAATATTACTGTCCATACATGTGATGAGTAAAGAGACATCTTTAGGTTTTAAAATATATGATATGTACCACCCTCCAAATCACCTAGAATATATGGAGATAAGTCAACATAATTACTATTTATTTACTTATTAATATGGACAATAACTTACATTCAAGCAATATAAAAATAAGAAAATATGTTAAGTCAATATGTAATAAAAACACATGATTGAATATGGCACTGTCATAGTAATTAGCAAGTCAAAACAAGATTTCCATTTTTCCCCACAGAATTTGTATTACGTAAAATAGACAGAAAGTGAGTTGTATCAGACTCTTCCATTTTCAAGACAGCTGATTTGAATTATCATGCTCAAGGTTCTACTTCATTACACAGCACATGCATGAAACTGATTAAATCTTATTTTTCTTTAAGGAAAAGGGCCATCACTGATAAATGACAATATTAAAAACACCAGAGATAAACCTGGGATTTACAAAAGTTCCTAACAAACAAAAAATGAGAAAAAGTATAAACATCTGAAATTTTTGTTTGTTGGATACTGCTTTTATTCTCCTCCAAACTCTTTTAGATTAAGCACATTGACCAAAGAGAAAATAAAAGTGTACTTTGAAACATTGTTTATACTGAAAAACTAGAATTTATCAGTTAACATTGAGTCTGCTCATTTGATTTTGTGATCATTTAAGGAAAAATTGACTTTTTGACAATAAAAATAAATTTAAGGATGATCTAGTATGTGGCCACATAAAATTCACTTAGCGAGTTCATACACATGTGGATATATCCATACATTCATATGAGCACACACTTCCACCAACTACTTTTTCAAAACAATGACGTTCCCCAGATGTATACACATGTAGCAAACGCAACATAATTCACAGTTCAGTAACTTAAATCCCACAGATATTCGTACATCCACCTTTCAACTTTTCTACCAGATGATTTCTTAGGTCTGATACCAAGTCTGTCAAGCTTTTTATAAACTAGTATTGAGATTTACCATAACTTATTAGTGCACTATTCCATAATTTTCTCGGAAAAAAATGTCATATATATACAATCACAACTACAAATAATTAACCCTCTGTAAAGCCTAGCAAAGAGACACCAAAATGCCATGGCCTGGAAGTAATTACCACAACCTAAATTAGCAGCATTTTTCAGTTGAGTTCTTGAGATGTAATACTCTGATCTACAACTATACTGAAATAACTGATGCCAAATCAACTCGAAAAGTTTTTCTTACAATTATTAAAAGCTAGCATCAGTTCCATAAAAAAAGTTTTGGTTGAAAAGATACTTGTTTTGCATCTCCTGCTTGTACTCTCTAATTCATAACTCAGCTTTCATGATAACACCAGTTATAATATTAACTTCAAAATTAGGTATTCCTAGAGTTTTTAATCCTCTAGCTGAAATTAATTTGAAGTATCCATTTTAATTCCTGAAACAATATAGTTTGAGGAGGGAACCCTATGATTAGGGACTACTTATTGCCAATTTACAAAAGTAGCATAGCATTAAAAACAGAAGTACCATATTTAAAGAATATTGTTGAACAATGGCAGTTTACAAAATACCAGATATTAGGGGAAAAAAAAAAGAAAGCTTTTGTTGCATTATTATTCCCTTATTTCTTGGTGCTTTTTTTATATTTGTAATGTATGGGGTGAATAAATGCACATTCACTTGGCTCCCATACACTCACTTCTTTCATTCATAAAATAGTCACCACTCCAGCGCTTTCTTTTAATGTAATTCTGAAATGAATTTTCTCTTTGAAATCAAGATTGTTTTGCAATTTAGTAGCACAAACAAGGTAGCATGATAGTATCTTCTCACTTTCCAACTCTATGTAGCAACTTACCAGGAGCGCGAGTGCAGTAACTCATGCAAGTTCTGTAGGATTTGTCAAGAGCATGTCTGTTCACAGTACCAAAATCTATTGCTTCTGTATGCTCAGCATTTTCACCACGTGACATACAATTTAATGGCACGATTTCTGGATGTTCAGTTGGTGTGAAGCTGTTTTCTAATAGGGCATCATTTGTTGGAATAGACTTTTCCCTACTTTTCTCAGAAGGCTTATAGAAGCCTGCATCAAATGTGTCTATTTTACCTAAAGAGTCATTGCAACAAATTTCAGGAGGCTTCTCTGATTTCCTTGGTACCAATATCTGTATCTCATTTACATTAGATGATGAAAAGTAGTCTTCGTAAGATGCCTCCTCAATACACAAAGGCTTGTTATATGTAGTTATTGCTTGCAAGAAGTCCTTTTTAGACTCTGATGCACCCAACTTTGAGGTAGACAGTTTCAAACTAGATTGTACTTTTGGTTTCTTCTTCTTCCTTTTGTCTTGAAGAGTACAATCACTTACGTCAACAAGAAAACTACTATCAAATGAACTTACATTTAGGTCTTTGCTGCTCACTGGTGAATCCGAGTGACTGCCAGTCAAAGTAGTCATATTTAACTGAACTATTTTTTCAGAAGGAGTAACATGATCCAAGCCCTTAATTTGGAGAAGTGAACTTTTGTTTGCAACTGAAGGGCTCACTGTATGTTCAGGAATCTCATTTTTGTTTGGAAACTTTTCCTTTTCTGAAGGCCATTTACCAACCAAAGTGTGCTGCAAAATCTGTTTTTTACCTAAGCATCTCCTGCTAGGTTGCTTTGGGGTTAATCTCTTCTGGTCATAGTTACAGAAGGGACTATTCACCGATGCACTCATGGAAGCATATTTGTGACTTGGAGCACTATAGATATCTTCAGCTATCTCTGTTCTCCGTTTTCTGAATTTATCAGTTCCCCAAAGATCATCAAAACTTGAATTTAAGCAGTCTTCCATCTGTTCTTCTGCAAAATATGAAGAGCAACAAGATAAACACTTAACATAGCAAAAACTGTGAAATTTCTTAGTAAAACAAATATCAAGTTACTGACAGAATTAAACAAGTATTTAGCCATATACATCTAAGTTGTGGCTAAGTTAATAACAAAAATTAAACAAAATTAAATTTGTTTTAAATTAGAACTGAAATTCTAATTTTAATTTAAATTAGAATTAGAAATTTAAATTAAATTAGATTTTTGATTAAACAAAAATCAAGTTCTATGTTGTCAAGGAGCAATAAACCATCCCCAAATTCTCTTGTACTTCTTTAAAACAAAGAAATAGAGGAACTCATTCTTAACTCTGTGGAGAAAATAGCACAGTGAACACATTTACACTGAAAAAGATAACTATAAAAATACTGAACATAAGTATTTTTGCTACCACCACTATCACTGCCTTGTATTTTCCCTGATGAAATTAAATACAACATAATACTGCCCCACAAACATAAAAATAGTATATTAAAGAAACTGAATATATTATTTCTTATAGCCATTTTCATGAAGCAATTTTACAGTAAGATAGGGGTGACAGTATCTATCCAAAGCTCTTTGCAAAAGTTTCCATTGGAACAGGTTAGAGACTATAATTATGTAGAATATGTATTTAAAAAACAGCTCTTCTGTACTTTGAAGTCCCACACTAATATTTATTGCAACTAATATTTATATATAAGCTTCAGCAACACTCCTTCTGTAACTGCTCCTGTAGGTTTTGGAAGTCTCAATGATATTTGCTTACTAACTATAAATAAAACTTTTAAGCATATGGTGTAGGTAGCTATAATCAGAAAAAATGAAAGATAGAGGTTTAAGGTTACATGACCAGACACCCAAAATGACAACCAAGTTGTCATTTATGGCCATTTAATTCATGTCCTCTGATTAGCATGGATTCCTCAACTCTTAGTCATTATTAACTAATATACTCTCCTGTGTCTCACAAATGCAAACAAAGGGATCAGCATCACAACAAATGCAGAAAACTGGGCTGCAACTCTTAAGGAGATAGGCAGGCTTTTTCTTGATAAAATTACACTGCACATTCAAAATGTTGGGAATAAATTCAAGATAAAGCTCTCAGATAATGTCCAATCTTATCAGCACTTTATCAGCACATGATTATTTCACCAAGAAAAAGAGTTTGTTGGCACTGATATGCTGCTTCCAAAATTGAACTACTACTCCATAACACTCTATTAAGAAATACCAATGAGTCTCTGCATAATTTTTGTCCCGATTCTCATTTAAGACACAGTGGCAAAATTCCTGTATGATGCCAATGAAATATAACATTTGAAAATACTTTAAGCAATAACTTACTACCATGGTAGAAGTCAGGCCACCCAAAGGCCCCCTCATAATGAGTTCTAAAAGCTACAGTCAATCACTAGTATCTGACTGCTATGTTTCACATCAGTCACACCAGAGAGATCTGAGGTATACAATAGCAAAACCAAAATGAACAAAGATACATGCTTATGTGTCCCAGTCACCTTCAGAGGAGCCACCTCCCTTAGGTCCTACTGCTAAGGTGAAACAGGCCTAGCTTCCTGAGCGTCACAATAAGAATTCTGGAGTTCACGATAGCATGAACTATTTAATTCATCTGCAAGCTTAAAAAAAAAGCTAGTTTATTTTTATTTTTGTCATATGCACTTTTGTCTTCACTTGGTGAATATTTAAGCTAGCCAACACATTTGGTTTTCTTCTAATTTCAAATTGTTCCATTGTCTTCATCAATAAAATGTTTCATATCTGCATTAATCTGCTAAACAATCATCTTTATCTTTTCTTGCTTCCTGATTCATATTGCTGAACGTATACATTGTGTTCTATACAAGACCACTGCAAGAATAAAAAAAACTCATAGCACAACAAGCTAGCTAGCAATAGGGTGAGGAAAGCAAGGGAAATGACCCAATCAACCCAGCAGCAACACAGGGAATTTACGCTGTGCTCTCTCATGCTCCATTTACTTTAATTTAGCTCTACCACCTTATCAGTTAAGAAAACTGAAATAATTCATTTTTTAACCATATAGCAAACAAATTCCTATTTCAGTTCCTATATCATTGAACATTCTAAAGTAAAATATAGAAGTAAAGTTGTGTCAGTTACCTGGCAATGCATCTTCTGAACCAGCTCCAAGGCACATTGGTAAATGGCTGCCTTTGTCTTCTTGTGAGTTACATAAAGGGGTTGGAGACATCTGCGAACCTAGAAATTGATCAAAAAAGACCCCTTAGCCCCAGCTGTGGACAGGCAGGTTTTCATAGCATCTAATCATATTTCAGACAGCTCAGTGGTAAGAGATGATGGATTGCTTTACTGACTAACTACAAACATACTCAAACCACTTAAAATAACACCAACAGAAAAGCCATTACATAGTCTAAAATTTTTATCCAGCTTGTAGAAAATCCAGAGCCTTTTTTCCCCAAAACCAAGAGAATTAATGAGATAAGGGCATTAAAGCCATTTGAGAATTTTAACCAAATAATGTCAAGTTCTGCAATAAGCAGTAATGATATAAAAGAAATGCTTTACAAAAATTTTGAAGGTATTACCTTAACAATTCAAAATCAAACTAAAAATAAATTAAAATAAAATCAATTAGGTTTAATTTCTTATCCATGTCACTGAATCTTTATATTCTTTCCATATCATTTTTGAAGCGATACCCGGAAATTGTAGCTGGTATAGATTTTTTGGTGCTTCAAATGGTGCAATATTATCTGTATTTATTTATTTTTATACTAAACAACACAATTTAGACCTCATTCATGCTTTTACTGAAAGGTAACACAAACACTAATACAGAACAAGAATCTGTATCCAAACTAGTTCAAAGTTGAAATCTAGTCAAAACGCCAAGCTCCTAGTGAATTATAAAGTTATCTGGATTTATTCAACTGGGTCTATTTTTAAAGCCTGTTCTTCAGTACCTAAAGATACGACTTATGAGTTTTGGGCTCCTTTTTAAGCTGTTGGTCTGGAGCACAGAAGTACTCTTAAGTACTGAAAAATCTGCTTATTTGTAGAAATAAATACCACTTCAGAGAAAAAAAAGAAAAAAAAAACAGTAAAAACAAACTCCAACAACGTATAACTTAGAAACACACAATTTTAAATCTCAGAACTTTTAATAGTTTATAAACAATTAATTATCTAATCATTAATTTAAGCAGACACTGCACAGCATATTGAAGTACTTTACTTCACTATGCATCTTAATTCCTCAACTATGTAACTTTAATTTTGCAAAGTCACCGTGGGCAAAAATCAAAACACTCAATAAAGTGTTAATATTTTAATTAAAAAACTCAACAAGAAATAAGATTTAAGGATCTTGCAGTAAAATTGCAATAATCCACAAATTTAGAATGTCCAATTTATACATTCATACTCTTGAAGAGTCTTTTGACTGTTAAAGCACTCCTTTTTATAAAGGAATGAAAACTGTGTTTCATAACTTCTTCTCATGCCATTGTAATAGAAGGAAACTAAGATTTAAAGCATTTGCATCTACTGCAAAGGGGAACACATAGCCAAACTGCTAAGTCTGGGGCACAGAATCCACAGAAGGGCTCAGCTTCAAAAGCTCCCTGATGCTTGGCTCACTTCTAATCCAAATGATACTCAGCCAGTCACCATACAGAAGAGGCACTTAAGGCAAATCATAACACAAAGTAACAGCTGTAAAATAGATAATTATTCAAACAGGCAGAAGCACAGTTCTAATACTGATCTGCAGGAGGAAACAAATATCACCTATTCTGTGTATCCATTTAGACTAGCAACACAGTCAGCTAGGCCAAAACTCAACACTTACAAGGTCAGAGATTCAAAGCTCCACATAGGAAGCCTTTATTTTAGGGTTATGGATACTACTGTACTAGTGGCTTTAGAGAGACAGAGAGAGAAAGAAGACAAACAGAGCAAAAGTGCCAAAATCCAGCAATAAATAGGGTAGTCACTTGGTCCTGTTCATGCATCAGTAAAATTTGAGTTCTTACCAGTAAGAGACAGATTTTCTCTCTTTTCCTTCATCTCTTCTATTCTTCTTTCCATTGCAAGGCATTGATCTTTTATCTTACTAACTGGGCTATATGCAAGGGAACCATCATCTTCAAATAATAAAACCGGTATATCAGTTTCTACATAAAGAAAATGCATTAGTTGGAAGCTGCTATAGCATGTACATGTTAACATTTGTAGAATTTTTTTACAAAAATTGAACTTAAGTTCTACACACTAGCATCATTACACATGCCTCAGTAATACTACAAACCTGCAAACAACTCCATAAAACTTTATTTTTTATAGTGAGATGCATAAGAGCCCCTATGGAGATCTACTCCAAGTGCTTTAAAGAAATAATTTCAAGATATTTGAATGTTGGACTGTAGTAGCTTTTACCGGGATTACTTGCTCTTCTTTGTATAGCTAATTCTTTAGCCAGCTGGTCCAGTCTCCTCTGCATCTTTCTATCATTTTCTGGAGTTCTTTCAATGAAGTCTTTTGGCTGCATACATTTGTGCTACAAGACATATGAAACTATTAAGTATATTCTGTAAGGCCAACAAAAGTACTCATGTGCCCACCATTTTATCACAGTATTATCCAGTTTATTGCTCCACACTATTTATAATTATCTCTTTGAGAGTCACTGGTACCTAAAGTTAACATTTTCTAAAATGATTTTTAATACAACATAAGTAGAAAAAGGCTCCAATAGTGCTTTGGTTAGACTGTGCCACCCGCCTTTTTTTTTTTTTTCCTTTGGCTTGCAGCAAACATAAAGCTTGAAAAAAGAAAAAGATGACTTTTTCACCCGGACCAAACACCAGGATTTTAAGATCTACTACAAGTCAATGGAGCACTACCCACGCTGCAGCCATTCTGACATTTTTTGTTAATAGCCAACTGTCATTAAATTTTAATTTAAACCTTTATTTCCATTTCTGTATTCCCAGAGAGATAATCTCTACTTTTACTACTCTTTTGTCTGATAAGATGTTAAATCATCATAATTACTAGCTACCTTTAAGAACCTGCTCAAATGGATAGATACTATTTACTATTTACAGTACATTTAGGGAAAAAATAATAATAATAAAAAAAAACTGCCTGAAACCAGGGAGACAAGTTCAAAATTTAAAGTTTGCTTACTCTGGGCCTTTCTTCAATTATATACTCACTTTTTTAACCAGCAGGGGTAACCCTTCATTAGTGCATACTGCAGGAAATAAAGATTCATCAACACGCTCCCCAGCTTCTCGACATCTAATAAATTAGAAAATCAATATCACTTTTTAGGATGAGAACCATTACTCCAAAGAACCTTTACTGTTTCTTATATTAGAATAACTGCTACTAAGTTTGTTTTTAGCATTACTATTGCAATGTTATATATATATATATATATAAACATAACATACATGCTTAGTACAGGGTATCATACAATTTTATTTGCCCTAATGTTATTCTCTAAAACCACTACATCAGTGCTCTGGGTTATTCCCTATACATTCAAAATTCCTTTTATTCAGTTCTTCTAGTCAGACCAGACATTTTTAGTGGACTGTACTGGTAGCCTGGCTTGTGAGATGCTTAACCAAAACTGGTACACTTTGATGATAGCAATCTTCAAGTTACATCTACTGAATATCATGGAAATAGAAAGATAAAGAAATGTTCCTACGCACACAAGTAAAGGAGGAGACCTTGCTTGATTCTGGCTTTTACAATTTATTCGCACTCCCACATACCCCAAATCTAGAGGCAATCTATATTTATGCAAACTTACACCCTACTCCCACATTTTCCTGCCTTTTTGTATTCACTGGCTTAAGAACATAGGAAAAAGTGTTATCTTGGGGTATGCGAACTATGGTTCACAACCATAGTTGTGAACACTGTGGATCGTGCTGAGACAAGAATTTGGTTATTAATGCAGAATCCCTTGCAAAAATAAAAAATAAAATAAAAAACCCAAAATAGCTAATTGTAATTTCATTCCTAAACAGTTTTTTTCCTTCAATAACAAAACTTATCAGAGAGAGTATGGAATCTTATGGACTACACTAGATTTTCTCCAGAAGTCATAAAAGCATGGTTCTAGTGACACCTAGTGATCTAACTGTTTTTAAGTTCATATTGTTAGAATTACAACCCACTGTTTAGAGTTGCTCAGTTTTGAGTAAAACCCATCAGCTAACCAAGTTCAGAATTATTAAGGATTAAAAAGTAGAATTTCCCAACTACATATTTGACTTGTAAGCATCAAGTCCTCTTGATCTTAATTTTGACACAAAGATTTTGGCAGTTGTGCAACCTCAACTCAAACACCTCACTGGTTCAGATAGTGTCACTCAAATTAAATTTGCAATTAATTTGAATGAATCTTACAGCAAGTCCATGATTCTTGTGCACTACCTCCACTCTGCAGTTATGAATCTTACAGACTTTCAGTTGTCATTTTTAGAGATTTAGCAAGTTTTCTTTCCTTCTCAATAGAATTATTTTTTGTTAAATTGCAAAACTGCATTCATTTTAGCCACAAATAAAGACAGAGTTGCCCTACAAGTTAGAAGCTTACAATATAAGTTTCAGGAACATCACTGGAGACAGAGCACTCCAACTCTACCAGGAGTCCAACACAACAGCATTCAATGCTGGATGATGTACAGAAATACAGAATTTTTGATTCTGATAACTTGCATCGCTTTTTATGGACAAAAGCATTATAGTATTGCTCAAACTGTAGGGCACATTCCTCTTAGCAAGCTGTGCTCAGAGGAGCAGTGCGCACAAAACATTTTCAAAGCAGAGGCACTTTGCTGTTAAGTGGGAGAGTATTTGGTAGAAATATGAAAAGTCAGGAGATGCTGGATTTGTTACTTGCTTCCTTGTCTAATGGTTTCAGAGATCAACAACCAAAAAGAAGAGGCCAGATTAATTAGTCCATCATTCCCTCTCCAATATAAAAATGTCTTAGTGTATGTATGAACATGCAGACATAGTCAAATATTTCCAGTCTACTCTTCCATATTTCACAGATTTCTGGTTTATAGATGCTCTGAGGCAACAGTACCTTTGATAATATTAACTGCATTTCTCTTCCTTTCTTTTCCCTCCATTTTTTAAACCCATCTAAATCTTTAGGATGCAAATGACTCTGCAACATGGAATTCTATAGCTTAACTACTTATCACTAAAACATCAACTACTGTTTTCTCTAAACCTGCCTTCTGCCAAAGTCCTTTAATGCTC